GAAACACAGGCCCTTAAGCAACCTTTACCAAGCCCTTTATAGACTGAGGGACTGGCTGGATTTTGCAGCTAGTGTTTTCTAAAGAATGAGGTCAAGTAGCCTTTCAAAATGCATAGTATGAAAAAAAAAAAGTAGAAAAACAGAAAGTATATGTTAGCTTCATAGGACCAATTAAGATTTACAGGACCAATTACAATAAATAAACAGACATTGTGGTGATCAGCCCATATCAACATAAAAAGGATGAGAAACAACACAATACAGAAAATGAACTGCATCTGAAATGGCATTACAGCAGTCACCTTATTTTGATATAAGGTAAATTACTGTGTTAACAACATTCTTTTGCTTCCTTTATGAGTCCCAGTAATACCAGGGCACCTGATCTACATTATCAAAATATATGCCACAACAAGAAAAATGTTTGTGCTGTACAGGATTCTGGGAATTTTTTTTTCATAAACAAGAAATTACATGTGTAATCTGTAAGCGGAAAGCAAATTTTCAGTATAATGATGATCTAGGTAAGGGAAGCATATGTTTATTGTAAAATGGTATTCTGTGTAAAGAAAAAACTGTTTTGATTAAAACTGTAATATGTGAGAAATAAACACAGGTTTTCAACAACACAGTAAATTATGAGAACAGAGCCTATGTTTTCAGCAGAATGGTGATCCGTGAGAAGGGAGCATGATTTCAGTAATATGGTAGTCAGTGAAAAAGCATATGAAATAGCATGTTTTCAGTAAAATGGTGATCTGTAAGGTAGCAAATGTTTTCAGTAAAATGGTGATCTGTAAGGTAGCAAATGTTTTCAGTAAAATGGTGAGCTGTAAGGGAGCAAATGTTTTCAGTAAAATGGTGATCTGTAAGGGAGCAAATGTTTTCAGTAAAATGGTGATCTGTAAGGGAGCAAATGTTTTCAGTAAAATGGTGATCTGTAAGGTAGCAAATGTTTTCAGTAAAATGGTGATCTGTAAGGGAGCAAATGTTTTCAGTAAAATGGTGATCTGTAAGGTAGCAAATGTTTTCAGTAAAATGGTGATCTGTAAGGGAGCAAATGTTTTCAGTAAAATGGTGATCTGTAAGGTAGCAAATGTTTTCAGTAAAATGGTGATCTGTAAGGGAGCAAATGTTTTCAGTAAAATGGTGATCTGTAAGGGAGCAAATGTTTTCAGTAAAATAAAGAGAATAACAAGAAAAGAGTCCCAACTTCAATTTAGCTTCTTCTTGCTCTTTACCTCCTCTTTTACTGCTTCCAGTGTTGAGGAAGACATATGGTTTTGTTTATTACTTTTCTGACCGCCTCGACCACAAGCACACTGTGCTGTTGAAGAATTTCTCTGATGTTAAATTTCCATATTGTTCCTGGTCTACCTTATGCTCTACATGCCACTTCTCTTTTGGTGGATTCCTTGAATGGTGTGGCATCACAATGCATTCTATTTGCGAGCAAACTATTTTACTAGCTGTCTTTGCATATAAGTATTCGTTCTGCACCTCCTTTTTTTCTTATGATTTCGTTCCTGATATTATCTCTTTTGGTCACTCCTGCAGTCTTTCCCAGACATCTCATTTCCATAGTTATTAATTTTCTTTTCTTATTTGTTGTCAAGATAACAAAAGAAAATATTTTCTTGTTTGAAAATTATAAATTTCCTATAAATGTGTCTTTCTTCTGTTTTAGTCTCCAAAACATGAATGGTTGTTCTTTACAGGCTGCTAGTTTACCTCCATGCCTCAAAATGTTCAGTCTCACAAACATACAGAGTTCTTTCCAAGTCTGTCTCAACTCTTTGTGCACCACTGAATTCATCATACATTTGTTATTTGTCCTGCAAGACATCATGTGTTGCTCTGAACACAGAGTTAAATATCTTAATAGTCCTTTACTTAAGCAGAAATATGTGAGAACAATTAAAACTTTTTTTAATATGTGTAAAAGATTCACTAATGGGTGCCTGCACAGAATAAAAGGAATTTAATTAAATGAGACAACCTTTAATGTATAGCTTGGAACAGAATTTTAAAAACTCCAGTTAATCAAGAGGTGAGAAAAAGATGATGATGCTGGATCAAACACATACTACTGAAAAAAACCTGATAATAATATAACTAGAATGTCTTTGTACTTGAGTCTACAGGGTCACAGAAGTAAAAGCAGATCCCCTTTCTCACTCACACACACACAAAAGACCAGGAGAGGAATTTGAGAGAGAAGCTACACATGATAGCAAAAAAATAGGGCAACAGTTTGAGCCAGCTGACAGCCTATGCTTCATTGGGGGATAAAGAGCAGCAAGAGAAGAACAGTCTATTTCTGCGTTATGGTCACATATGGGATTTACAGTACCTAAATGACCCAGAGAAAAGAAACAATTTCTCAGATAAAATAACAAAACCCTGTCTTTCAAAAGTACCCTGCCTTTATTTTATTTATTTATTTTTATATAAAACTTGATAAAATATGGCTGAAAAAATGCTGGATTTTGGATGGAACCAATTTATTAAAGAAAAATAAGGAATAAAAGTTACATAAATGGGGATATTAAGCATTCCTATAATATGCTATTCAAAGACAATTGTGTGAAAATGACAATAAGAAACGTTACTAGATTTGTTAGAGAAATTCACTTGTTCAACATCCTTATGCAATGACACATCGCTATGCAATAAAAACTAAATCACACCGCAGTATTAAATTGTATCACTTAGCCCAAACATAAAAGACTGCATTCCTGGTCCAAACTGGTGGTCACATATGATAAAACAGGAGAAGATCAATTGCCAGTAAAGGCAAGGAACACCAAAACACAAACAAGAATCAATCCAAACCCCTAAGAGTTCAATTGGCTGACAATAGAAATGACAAACAGACATGAACAATTTTGCTTTCATAAGTTCTTGTAGCTAGCAATGGATTTAAAAAAATTGCTTTCAGAAAATACAAATGTCCAAAACAAAACATTCAAATGGAATAACTGAATATAAGTGAATTCTTTTACACAGCCCACACGCTGATTAAAAAAATATACAACAATGATAAATAATCTTTAAATGTATAGTATAATATAATCACACAGTAATCTGAATTCAAATTGTCACCAATTCAGTGGCATCATATACGGACAATTGAGACATAAATTGCAATGCAGGAAGCTGGCAAAAGCTTAAAATTGCTGAAACACTATGATACACCATCACAAACACAGAAATGTGCAATTAACAAATGATGAAAGCTTCAGATTATCACAGGATCAATTTCTAGTTCAACATACCTGAAATGGAGGTCTTGTTTTTCTTCATGACCCTTTATGCACAGTAATATATAATGCAGACTGCATGAGGCAAACCGCCGTGGTAAAAAAACAATTTGCTTATCCCAAGCAATTTATGTTGCTTGAACTCTTACCCGGATAAGAGGAATTTCTAATAAGATGAACAATTTCATAGGACCCTGATTTTCTCGTTGTTAGGTCTGCACTGCATGATGTGTTTGCCCCCTTTTCCCTTTGAATTTCATCCATTAAATAATATATTCACTCACTGTTTACATCTGATTCTGGGAGCCCTGGGAATGTAGTGATTGCAAGCTCACCTGAAGGTCTTTAGTTCAAATCCACACCAGGCGAATCTGGATTTTTTTTTTAAATGAGTGATGGGGAATCTCCTGGGAAGTAAAGGTGGCCATCATGAAGTTGACTACATCACCCATAAAGTACTAACTAGTCTCTTTAAAAAAAATTGGGTCTTAATTAAAATTTTTTTTTAAAAATAAGCCTAGCACCATATGCTTAAGGCACCACTAGCCTGAAAAGGGTCCTTTATTTGAACATCTGGCTGCACCAGCTATCACTTCCTCTAAGTATTTATCTTCCTTAAAAATGATGTCCACCCTTCCAGTGACTCCCAACCATCAAGTAATGTGTTCTCTAAACTTTTTTTCCCTAATATTTAATCACAGGATACCAAAGAAATCTGGCACTCTCAGAGATCACTTCGCCTTGTATTTATCTTAATAAAAAGTTGTGCATTCATGAATTTTTATAATGGATATTTCCCTCCACAAACATCCCTGATCAGTTCTGGGGCAAATTGCAACCCTACTGCTCATGTTAAACTGTCATGTTATAGCAAAAATAAAATATAAAGGCAATCATTATACTAACTTTCTGTGTTTGATTATTTCCATGAAAGAAAATTAGGGTAAGATAATTTTTTTTAAGTCTGTGAAACATAGTAGGGAATGTGTTAACCATTACTTTACTACACACGTAAATAGAAAGATTACCTAAGCACAACAGCCTTACAATTACTGTGTGCTCTGAGACAGAAGTTCTTAACTGTGAACATTACTTATTGCTCTTTGTTTTCCCTGAAGACTCTATGCCATTCTAAGGCATCCCATAGACATGTTTCCAATTTCACTTACCCACAGTCCTTTTCTGTACATGGTAAACACAGACTGCGTGATAACAATCACACATTTCATTCATGCTCTTCAAAGTGGTGACATTATGGAAAATATACTGTTGCAGAAAACAATCAATATGAAGGAGCACTTTAGGCAGGCATTTAATTAATTGCAAAGATGCACTCCCCTCCCCCATGCTCATACAGAAGCCCAAATGTATATGATGAGTGACATTTAGACAGTAATATTTAGCCATAACCACCAGGCTACCTGTTGTCACAGACACTTTTTGCGAAATTAAACAATATTCTATTCACCACACCTTCTCTCTGATGGTAATTCAAAATTTGCCATTTTTAAATACTCATTTCACATAGTGAATGCAAAGTATTGTTTCTCCCATTCACAATGATTAACATTTTTGACACAAAGTTTACTTTCTGAAATTTTATGTAGCATGCAACTTCGTAATAATAAAATATGCAATACAAATACTTAAATTCTGATAAAGTCTGAAATATCTCTCAAATTCTGGAATCAGTCATAGCTGTATAAACATCACAAACCAAGAAAGAAATTATAGTGTTCAGTTGGTTCTGTCAAATGCTGATGGTTTCTCTTCAGTTATACCAATAATGCTTACAGTGTTCCCAGTCTCTTCAGTTGCACCAGTAATGCTTTCAGTGTTCCCAGTCTCTTCAATAGTGCTTTCAATTTTCCCAGCGTCTTCAGATAAGAAACCAGTTTCTGTGCTTCGTACATCTTCAAGCACAGAGTCAATAATGCTGTCATTCTTCAAAGAAAACACTGCTTCAGAAATGTTACTTCGAATAACACCGGAGGCGTCATTTAAAGTAGTGTCCAAACATTCCACTCTATCCTGCGCTGCTATAGCATGACCATTGATTTTATCATCATCATTAACCACATCTCTTGACAAGGATGTCTCCCAAACTTCACCACCTTTTCTTATGTCACTTAGCACAAATAAATCACCCACTTCATTATCTTTTGCAGTAATGTCCTTTGTGAAAGACAAATCATTAACATTATCATCTTTCAATGTAGCTTCTCTTGTAAAAGAGAAATCACCAGAATCATTACCATCCTGTATTGTAATGTCCCTTGCCAAAGAATCAGAAAGCTGATAATCTACAACGTCTGACTGTGCATCGTCTGGAGATCCAGAAGCTGGAGCTAACAGATTGGGGTGGAACTTTTCTAAAGCCCACTGGATGGCCCAGATTGCCAAAGGCCTCATGTATGCCAGAGACCTGTAACCACGATTTAAAGTGTATGCCTCAGGAGTCTGAAAATGCAGGCCGAGAATTTCCCAGCATGTATGGTATGTTCCATAGGCTGTGCGGAAACCTTCCTCAAGGAGACCCTGTGATCACCAACAATTTAGAACATTTAGAACATTAACAAACAAAAAAGGAACCTAGACTATATAGGAATCTAGGCCTACATGAGAAACTTGAACTATTGCTTTTAACTTTAAACTACTGTTTTTAACTTTTGGACAGGAGCATCGAGCTTTTGACAATAAAATATGTATTTCAGAAACGAAATACCAATTTTTAACAATCAACATTAAATGTTATGTGCTCAATTTAACTAGAACATCATAGGCATTGATAAAAAAAAAAAAGAGAAACAGTGTTCTTGGGCTATGTGATCAGAAAAATGACCTAGGAATCATGCCTAAACAGCTTCAATAAATCAAGGATTTTCTGCTCATAAAAAGAAGGAAAGATGCCAAATCCATCAATGTGAAGAAGACTGATGAGAATGTCACGTTGAAGGTGTGTTTCAGTAGATCTGTACACATTCACGAACCAGGACAGACATAAGGCAGAAAAACTGAGGCAATCATTGCCACTTTATTTGCTTGGCAGAGGAAGAGCTTAGGTAGAATAAATAAAGAAATCCATCAAAAAATTGTTAACAAATTATAATGGCTATAAGGATCAAAGATAGAAGATGCAGAAGCAGGCCATGACAAATGATGCAAAATAGTCTAAGATTATGGATACATTCAATAGAATCAATCCTGGAAACCAAGGAGCAAGATCTGTGAAGAGACATACATACACTACACAGCATGGCAGATGATGATGATGATGATAATGATGTATCTTTTTCTTATAGTCCATGCCATGTGGCACTGGTAATCGGATCTATCTATAACCTGTGTCTTTTGTAATTTCAATCAACGTTACCACTACGATAAGCTAGCCCCCCGCTGATCCTTCCCTGTGTGCTGAATACTTTTCTATCCCCAAACGCAAAAGATGTGTTGGCGGTGTGGTCTATATTTTGTACAACTAAACATAATCACCCTAGGAAAGTGGGTGGCTGGCAGGTCAGACGCACTTTGGCAACATCAAAAAACCTTGCCTTTAAAGAAAGGAAACACAAGAAACTGGATTTAAATGACCAGCTTCACTAGGGATAGTAAAAGAAAATGTATCCTCTGCTAAGTCTACATCTTCTTTGTCTACACCACTTCCATATATGCAGTAGCAACTCCACAGTGGAGGAAACACAACAATAGCCTTCTCATCATTATCAAGAACATTTTTTATTCTTTCTTTTCTTTTTTTTAAACCACTTTACACTCTTTGCAGGTGGATACTGCAGGAAAACTTTTCTTTCTTTTTCTACTTCATCCTCGTCTCCACGGTTGTCATGTGATTAGTCACTGCCCCGTTCAACCGCCTTGCAAACTTTACCATCAAAACTTCAGGAGGGGGGGGGGGGGGGGGGGGGGGGGGGGGGGGGGGGGGGGGGGGGGGGGGGGGGGGGGGGGGGGGGGGGGGGGGGGGGGGGGGGGGGGGGGGGGGGGGGGGGGGGGGGGGGGGGGGGGGGGGGGGGGGGGGGGGGGGGGGGGGGGGGGGGGGGGGGGGGGGGGGTGGGGGGGGGGGGGAGGGGGGGGGGGGGGGGGGGGGGGGGGGGAGGGGGGGGGGGGGGGGGGGGGGGAGTAACGGAAAAACTGGTTGCGATCTACAGCTTTAATCATAATTAATTGTATTCCCAGTGTTATTACCTTTTTTTTTTTAAAATTATTAATACTTCAGCGATCCAACGCCAAAAGGGCTAAGAGCTGAAATTTAATCTTTACACTTAAAAAAAAAAGTTACAGAGAGACTGAATGTCGGACCATTCGATTGTAAGGCAGATGTGATACCAACTACATTAGAAATTTATATGAAAATAAGAACTAAAATTAGGACAGTACTGTACACTGTGATAGACAGACACATTCATGTCTGTTGTATAGTGTAGAAGAAACGTTAATTTCAATCATCATGTCAGTACGTGAAAACCTATTGGGAAGCTGCGGAGATGTGGTATCACAGACGAATAATGATAATACCCTGGACATATGAACAAGAATAATGAAGACGTCTTGAACGAAACTGACTCACGAAGATAACTGATTGCCCACATTAGAAAGAGACAATCTACATTCTTTGGTCATGTGATGAGAAGAAGAAAACTGGAGTACATCGTGATGGTAGGAAAGTTGGAGGAGAGGGAGACCGAGAGAACAGATGCTGGACAGCCTAACATCGTGGCATGGAAGATCATCTGTGTCAGAGTTGATTGAAAGTATACAGGACAGAAGGTTGTGGATAGACATGACTACCAATGCCACACCGCATGGACATTTTTAAAAAAAAGTCAGTACGTGACCATATTCTCTTCTTGATCACGAGGGATCTATTTCAAATCCAGTTGATGCTGATGGCTGGGTCAAATGGTCAGTCTTGCTCATGGCCAGAAGTACATATGTCTGCCGCATGAGTGAAGATAACCCAACTCAGAACTTACACATTTCAAAGAGATCCTCATTTTAGCCTTGAAAGAAACTTCATTAACTCTTCAACAACTTTAATTAACCAATTTTCTTACTATTTTGTATTTTTTTTTTTAAACACAGACTAACGCAAAACCAGAAATATATTTCAGGGCAAGAAATACACAGTTCACTCACCTCACTTCTATGGTAAACAAAGCAACAGGGTAACGTGGAACTCATCTAAATACACTTAACGCACATCATAAGGGTTTTAATTGTATGTAAATGGGTCAATGTGATCAGATTTAGGTAACGTGTATTGCCATTTCAGCCCTGATAATTACGGTCCTTGGCGATCTGTGAGAAAAGTCTCAATCAAGTTTTTACGTCTGTAGTAGTGAGGGCACAGAAAATGAAAGACGCAGAATTATGTCTTTTGCAGTCTATGGGGCAGATGTAAAATTAGGTCTTTAGCAGCGAAAAAGTTAAATGCTATGGTGGACTGGAAAGAACAGCAACGGAGGGCATGGTACCAGGGTAAAGAGGTAGGGGATGACCAGCACATGAATAACAAACATCTTCAGTAGGAAAGTGCATAAGGCTGGAGAGCTTGTGAGAGTTTTGAGTTTCTTTCGGGTGGGTTATGATAGGAGTAATGTTTTGTAGAAGACCTATGATGATGATTTGATGGCACTGATGTGTGTATGTATCATCATCACCACCACGACATGCCTTGCCAAATGACATCTTCTTCAGAAATTGAAAGGCAGAAGCTGAAGAATATAGCCAAAAGGTTAATATGATTACATTTCTGCTTAAAGCCAGAGTGAAAATAATTTTTGCCATAGTAACAAGGTATCCAATGGAATCTTTCACTTACCTCTTGAATCATAGTAGCAGCCAATGCATATGTAATGCCTGACCAGAACTCCTCAGATTGGGGTGAACTCAAGTCCATCTTCCCATCAGGTCGTGTGCCATTGATTGCCCCCATGTAGCCTCCTTGGAAGCCCATCACATTATTTTTGTAGATGGTCAGCAATGACTTCCTCACATGATCAGCAGGAAACACCTGCAAAATAAAAAGTTTGTATCTGTACTGAAAAAAGTCTTTGAATCTGACTTAAGTAAAGATAAATTAACCCTTCTGTTACAATGTAAACAAACTGAACCCAGGCTGACTTTATGAGACAAGAATGGATTTAACACACTGTGAATGGTTTGTCTAACCAGTATCTTTGTACTGGGTCATGCAGGTGTTTGAGGCAATAAGCAAGCACATTATATGGCTGAAAATGCGCTTACCATGACTTGTCTAGCAACAGATAGGAGCAATGCCATGTGAGATCCATACAGCAATGGTAGGGAAATCCCCAGTACGTCCCATAGTATTATAGGAGGGGGAGGGGGGGGGGGGGGGGGGGGGTTAGAGTGAGTAGTAGTCCCCAGTCATTTAAAAATAACCCTAACCCTAATCTGCGACTGTGGCTTAGGCGTTGCAAACGAGCTTCATAACACTGGGGTGCCTGATTCGATCCCAGCTGTGGGCCTTGTGCTGGTTTCACCGGTGGTATCAAGAAGCCGACTGTCCAGAAAGCAATAGAAAACTACTGGATGTAAATTTTCCCCACAAATGCTGGGGTTGGTTCTGAATTCCAGAGAAATTTGACTAAAAAGCTCAACAAAATGGGAAAGAGGAAAACGTGCACAAAACAACAAAACGTAACGTTTCGGCTGGGCAGCCTTTTTCAAACACAAGTGAAAGACACAAACGAGGAATGGAGAGTATGTAGATCTCTAAGGGGTGACGTGAGCGCTTTAAAAAAATGTGATGCGGAAAAAATGAAATAAAATAAAATAAACGATGGCTAAAAAATATAGTCACAATACTGGGAATAAAAGAAATGCAAGTGGTAATGATACATAAATGATACTGATAAGAAATAGAATAAGGTAATAATATGAATAAAATAAAAAAATTAACATTTAAAATGTGATAAGATTAGAACTATTTAGATGAAGGTATGTTGGATATTGATACCTCTTGGACTAAGAACGCCAAGGCTGTGGATAAGGCGATTTTCCAAAGCGAGGCGGGTAGTATGATCGCCAGAGCAAGATTTTAATGCTGTGACAGATATGTCATCTTTACCGCTGTGGTCAGGGCTATTAAAATGAAGAGGGATTGGTTTTGAGTGTCTTCTTGTCGATATCGGAGAGGTGTTCCCGGAAACGATCAGCTAGCTTCCTGCCAGTCTCTCCAATGTATGCCTTGCTGCATCGTTTGCAGATAATTGCATAAAATTACGTTGCGGGATTCGCAAGTAAAAGGTTCCCTAATTTGAAAAGAACCATTAGGGAAACTGACCGAAGAAGTCTGGACAACGAAAGGACAATGTCTTGCAGGTGCTACGTGAGCACTGAGTAGTCCCAAAAGGAAGTGCTGTGTGGATCGGTGGGAGTCGGCTTCGGACAAGTATGTCTTTAAGGTTGCGATCTCGTCTGTAAACTAATCTAGGTTTCTCACAGAAACCTAGATTAGTTTACAGACGAGATCGCAACCTTAAAGACATTACTTGTCCGAAGCCGACTCCCACCGATCCACACAGCACTTCCTTTTGGGACTACTCAGTGCTCACGTAGCACCTGCAAGACATGTCCTTTCGTTGTCCAGACTTCTTCGGTCAGTTTCCCTAATGGTTCTTTTCAAATTAGGGAACCTTTTACTTGCGAATCCCGCAACGTAATTTATGCAATTATCTGCAAACGATGCAGCAAGGCATACATTGGAGAGACTGGCAGGAAGCTAGCTGATCGTTTCCGGGAACACCTCTCCGATATCGACAAGAAGACACTCAAACCAATCCCTCTTTCATTTTAATAGCCCTGACCACAGCGGTAAAGATGACATATCTGTCACAGCATTAAAATCTTGCTCTGGCGATCATACTACCCGCCTCGCTTTGGAAAATCGCCTTATCCACAGCCTTGGCGTTCTTAGTCCAAGAGGTATCAATATCCAACATACCTTCATCTAAATAGTTCTAATCTTATCACATTTTAAATGTTAATTTTTTTATTTTATTTCATATTATTACCTTATTCTATTTCTTATCAGTATCATTTATGTATCATTACCACTTGCATTTCTTTTATTCCCAGTATTGTGACTATATTTTTTAGCCATCGTTTATTTTATTTTATTTCATTTTTTCCGCATCACATTTTTTTAAAGCGCTCACGTCACCCCTTAGAGATCTACATACTCTCCATTCCTCGTTTGTGTCTTTCACTTGTGTTTGAAAAAGGCTGCCCAGCCGAAACGTTACGTTTTGTTGTTTTGTGCACGTTTTCCTCTTTCCCATTTTGTTGAGCTTTTTAGTCAAATTTCTCTGGAATTCATTGTATTAGCTTGACTGCAGTCACCCCCATAGTTTAACCATTTTGGGGTTGGTTCTGCAATGTCCTGTAAAGGATATAAAATTAACTTTTTTAACTAACCCTAACGGCCCTAAAAAATGGGACTGTCCAGGAAAATCCCTAGGAACTTCCTTCAAAATCTCAAAGCCGACGAGATAGAGTCATCTAAACTTAAAGTACCAAGGAGTGCGTTAATCAACACTGAATGGGTGTGATCAATCATTTTCACTTATAGAGCTAATGAGAAGTAGAAAAAAATATGTCGTCTAGAGTGTTGTAATGATAAGTTTCACTAATCACTCATATACACCATGTGGCTGCTAGGATCTCATTGAGGGGAGGGTGGGGGTGGGGGGGGGGGGGGGATAGACTCACTGCCACCCTAACAAGTATGTCATAAAAGTTGACTAATTAGGGATGTTTCCTTTACAGTCAGAGTGCATCTACCTGAGAGACAAGGAATCAACAGTCATAAAACAAATAATCCAGATCTTTGAAATGGATGTGCATGTGAAACTCAAGTTCTGGAACAAGAGATAAAGTCCAGAAGTGGACAATCACCCAGAACTTTTCACCAGCGTTTACAGCAGGTGATTGCAAAGAAGAACAAGACTAATGTAACTGTATGTATGTATGTATGTATGTATGTATGTATGTATGTATGTATGTATGTATGTATGTATGTATGTATGTATGTATGTGTGTGTGTGTGTGTGTCTGTGTGTGTGTGTGTGTGAGTCTGTGTGTGTATGTCTGTACGTATGTATGTGTGTATGTCTGTACGTACGTATGTATGTATGTCTGTACGTACGTATGTATGTATGTATGTGTGTGTGTGTGTGTATATATATATGTGTGTGTATATATATATATATATGTGTGTGTGTGTATATATGTGTGTATATATGTGTATATATGTGTATATATGTGTGTGTGTTCTTTACTAATATCCTACCCCAGATGCTGTCACAGAAAAGTTCAACATTTTAGAGGGTGGTAAGACTGGGTTTCCCGGCTTTCTAATGCTTCTAACGACCCTAAAACATCTAGAACTGGCCCTAACCCCAACCCACCTACATCCCACGTAGTGCAGCCAAGGTCCCATGACTGCATGCAGCCTATCTACCACCCCCTGAAATATTAGTATGACCCGTGACCTGTGGATTTCCTCTGTTTGGGATAGGATATTTATAAAGCACCTAAAAAACAAATGTAAATTTATTACATCTAATGCAAATAAAATAACCACTTCATCATATCCCCATTAAAAATAATATAATCACAAGATAACATAGGATACAATTAGCTTACAGTGTAAGCAACTCAAAGACAAACAAAACCTACTGTTTCATCTGCTAGATCTGAAGCCTTCAAGAACCAATGGCCTGCTAGCTGGTCTGCCATAACACTGTCGTGGTGACCACTTGTGCTGCTGTCATAATCGTAGTAGGAACCTTGAAAACATTGACAGGTTGCAGCATTAAATTGAATGCATTTTTCAGGACACAAATAAACACATGTATTAGTTGACTAATGTACAGACCCCAGCCCTCTATCACTGAGGTTTACAGGAAACTCTGACATCAATTTGGCTTTAAAAGCCATTTTGCTCAATAGACTCCCCCCCCCCCCCCCCCCCCCCCCCCCCCCCAGCCCCCCCAGTTTTGGTTTTTTTTGTATATATATATATACTGCACATCAGCGTCTGTGGCTTAGGCGTTGGGAATGCACTTCATAATGCCAAAGTTCCTGGTCAGATCCCAGCTACAGGCAATTTTGCAACAGACCACCGTGTGTTGGTTACAACAGTGATATAAGAGCAGACTGTTCAGAGAGTAACGGCAAACTACTAAACATAAATTCACCTAGAAAAACTACAACAACCAAAAAATGCTGGGGTTGGCTCTGCAACATCCTGTAAAGGACACACAACTAACATCATATTAAACTATTCGGTCAAGAAGTCCAATCATTTTTCCTAACAAATGCCATCAATTATATAAATGTAGAATGAAAGCAACAACAAAAGTATTCAAAGCAAACAGTACTGTAATTTCAAAACAAGTATTATAAAGGTACTTCACCATTCCAAAGTTTCTTTTCAAAAGAGTATTTTCCCTTGTCTAGCATCTCCTGATAAGCAGTTACATCCTCCTGTATATCGAGCTCTCTGGCCATCTCAACCATCATTCGCAGAGCCGCTAGCCACATACCTCCACAGTATGCACTAGGGGAAAAGATGAACAAATGAGCTCTCTCTATTCCTCTGTGTGTGTGCGCGCATCTATATCTCTCTCTCTCTCTCTCTCTCTCTCTCTCTCTCATATGTGCCAACATCAACAGTCCTACACCAGAACAACAGTTTACTTTTGGCACAAACGGTCAATCATGAAAGTCGTCACTACACCAGCAAAAGTACATATAGTGTGTGTGTCTATATATATATGTATATATATATATATATATATATATATATATATATATATATATATATATATATATATATATATATATATATATATATATATATATATATATATATATATATATATATATATATATACAGAGACAGACAGACAGACAGACAGGACAGACAGGACAGACGGACGGACGGACGGACGGACAGACAGACAGACAGACAGACAGACAGACAGACAGACAGACAGACAGACAGACAGACAGACAGACAGACAGACAGACAGACAGACAGACAGAGCTGCACTTCCTCAGCTAATGTCTCATCAATCCCTACATTTTCCAGTCAGGATAAATTTTGAAGAGGCATCTTGTGCAAGTCTTGGTATGGGCTTCATAGATCCCGGAATATGTGACCTTTGACAGTCCACATAAGCATCACTTGTATGTAGCTCTGCTTCCATTGCGTCTGACAGGGTTCTGTATGCTGTTTTATCTTATGGCATTCCATATATATGTTCGAACCATTTGATTGTTTTGTCTCTGGGTTAAGTTTAGGACACATTCAAACTTGTTTCCCGATAATATCATTTTTGATCCTGTCTCTTCTTATACATTAAGTATTCATTGTAGACATTCTATTTCTGTTGTTTCAATGTCTGGCATCACATTGGGGGGTGGGGGGGGGGGGGGGGGGGGGGGGGGCTCCAATATACACATTCCCACATAAGGGTGATCATACAGGGAGTAAAGCAGTAAGTAACAAATAGAATACTGTTAACACTAAACGAGATGGGATTGTGAATTTCTTACTGCATTTACATTACACACTATTTTATATGTTAACATAACCTTCTCTAATGATGGCAAAATCTTTACTTTTCTGGCAGAAGCTGAGTAAAGATGTTTCCATGAGACTACTCTGCTGTCAGATAGTTAGACAGTCAAAGATCTAACTTCATGGCAAAAAGGTCACTCCATAATTGTTCAATTCCTGCGCCTGAGAAAAACCACACAAAATGCCTTTCACTGTTCTTTGTTATTTTAAAAAAAAAAAAAACACTGAAACCGGCTGCCATGGCAGCACTGCTTACAGCAGGGCTATTCAACTGGCTGCCCGCGTGCCAAATGTGGCCGGAAAAGGCCTGGCAAATGGCCTGCGGATTATCTGCCAACTGTATTATATTAATGTTCTTTCTATGCTGGGACTTGGTCTGCTGGCCCGCGATGATCTCCATTTTCATAAGTCTGGCTCTTGGCAAACTTAGTTGAATGGCCCTGGCTTACAGCATACACATGAATTTATGTCATAAAAGTGCCAGTATGAACAGTCTGCCACACCTGAATTGTGTTCAATGTTAAAGGATGCAGCAGTTACAACTATCTGTAACTGCACATGCAAAACTGTATAAGGCACACCCCCCACCCCCCCTTGCAGTGTGGCAACAGATACTAAGCTATTTCTAGATATGTTCATGAATAGTTGGATTTTGGGTTCTTTATTAATATCCTACCTCAGATGACATCACAGGATAGTCCAGCATTTCAGAGGGTGGTAAGACTGGGTTTCCCGGCTTTCTGATGCTTTTAACAACCTCAAAACATCTAGAACTGGCCCTAACACCAACCCACTTCTGTCTCACGAGAGACTGCAGCCTAGTTTCCACAACTGCATGCAGCCTAGGTCCCATTACTGCATGCAGCCTATCTACCACCCCAGAAATATAGACTGTCCCGTGACCTGTGGATTTCCCCTGTTTGGGGTAGGATATTAATAAAGCACCAGATTTTGCAACCAAAGTTGTTTGCATGATGATGCCACCAGTCGCACTAGAACCCTTCTTATGCACATCGTATTTTACAATATTACTACTCTATGCTCCTCGTTACTCTTGCAAATCTCATTAACAAACAGTCATCTATCAAGGTTATGGTATTGTAATGAAACTGGAGTTGTGGTAATGTAGTGGCAAGATGCTCACTTGCTTGCTCAAGAGTCTTGGGTTTGAACCTGCATCAAGTCAGGTTTTTTTTTTTCAAAACTGATCTTGGATCTTAAATCAACCCATCCGAAAGTGGGTAGTAGGCAATTAAATTTTATAGGAAGTAAAGGCGGCCAGCATAAAGCTGACCTTTTTACCCATTGAGCGCTGATTGGACTATAAAATTTCAGTCTAGCATTATATGCTTAAGGTCCCTTTTGCATGCCTTTAGGCGTACAGGACATATAGGGCTAGACCTATATTTTCATAGACCGATCGGCACAAGATGGGTGATGTGGTCAGCATCATGCCGGCCGTCTTTACTTCCCGGGACTGCACCCAGTACCCACTCAAGGCTGGGTCGACCTGAGAGTCAAGTTTTGCTTTACTTTACTTTACTGCAATGGAACAATTCTCAGTATTCTCACCTTGCTCCCTTCATAACCCATGCATCAAATGTTTGGTCAGCAAAGCCACCATTGTCTATAAGCCCATCATCATCAGAATCCCAGATTTTGGATGATTCAATTAAAACCTATTGAGTTAAGAGAAGTGAATAATAATTTTATACAAACAGAGTTTATGACATTCATAAATTAGATCATAATGACAGAAACAAATAAGGATATTTTTGCTCGGTCCTTCTCCTCCTTCTTTGCGGTCACTGGCTATAAACTCTGGCAGAAAGTTCTGGTTCTTCATCCATCTTTAGGTTTTAGTCTTTTACCAGAACCGGAGTTCTGTGTGCACATCTATTTTACAGATCTGGTAATATGGGATTTGTAACAGCCATGGGTAATACTGTGATTTTTAACAGCTATGGGTTATACTGGGTAATGTAACAGCCATGAATAATACTGGGATATGCACCAGCCATGGGTATTACTGGGATATGTAACAGTCATGGCTAATATTGGTATATGTAACAGCTATAGGTAATACTGGGTTATGTAGAAGCCATTGGTAATACTGGGATATGTAACAGCCATTGGTAACACTGGAGTTTGCACCAGCCATAGGTTACACTAAGATATATAACAGCCATGGATAAAACAGGGATATTTAACAGCCATGGATAATACTGGGACATGTAACAGCCATTGGTAATACTGAAGTATGTAACAGCCATGGGTAAAATGGGATATGTAACAGCCGTGGGTAATACTGGGATATGCAACAACCATGGGTAATACTGGGATATGTAACAACCATGGGTAATACTGGAATATGTAAAAGCCATGGGTAATACTGGAATATGTAACAGCCATAGGTAATACTGAAGTATGTAACAGCCATGGGTAATAATGGGATGTGTAACAGCCGTGGGTAATACTGGAGTATGTAACAGCCATGGGTAATACTGGGATATGTAACAGCCATTGGTAATACTGGGATATGTAACAGCTGTTGGTAATACTGGGATATGTAAAAGCCATGGGTAATACTGGATATGTAACAGCTATGCGTAATACTGGATATGTAACAGCTAGGGGTAATACTGGGTTGTGCAAATGCCATGCATAATACTGGAAAGGTGTATTAGCCAAAGTTAATCATATATATACTAGCCATCTTGAACACATGGTTTCTTCTAAACAGGGGTAATATAGGAATATTTACTAACCAATGGCGAAATAGTTGGATATCTTCTGCTTCTTCTTGTTGTTCTCTCTGCCAGTAGTTTTCACAGACAGCTTGAGGCCTTTATGAAGACTGCAATGTATGTCCTCCGCTGACCATACAACTTGGTTTCCACTAGAATGCCAGTTGGCCAGAATTGGATTCCTTCTAATGAATTTAGAGAGCATGCCAGCAGCACATATTCAGTATTCTAGGTGCCCGTTAACTTGGGCAAAGTTCTGAGCTTCCAATCTTGAATTTTTTGTACCTACAGCTGCAGAGTCTGTTGTGTCCAGTTTACAATCTAAGTATAATAGTCTGTTTCTTTCATGCAAGGATTTAGTTTGTTGGTATTCTCATCAGCTGCTTAGGTATTGCGAGTCCAACTCGTAATTCCAACGTACCGCGATCAAAACCCACTGCTGGCTGCATGGATTTTTATCATAGTATAAGGTATCGCTTGTCGACCTAGCCTAAAATTGGTACCAGGATATATGTCCTGAAAAATAAAGACGGTCAGCGTAATGCTGACCACATGACCCACCTAGTGCCCATTGGTCTCTAAAAATATGGGTGCTCTTCCCATATGCTCGATGCGCTTAAAGGCGTGAAAAGAGATCTTTACTTTACTTTCTTATTCTGGGCTGGAAGTCCTCCAAAGGCCTGTGGTGGCTGCCTTGATCTAGATTTTATTTTCCCCAAAAGTGTATCCTGTAGATGGTTGTCCTGTGCTGCTTACAAAAATTAGGACATACTGGGATATGTAACTTCCTTAACTGGGTAAAAATTGCTACACCTAACACATTTCCTTTCATTCACCTAGTGACCAAATGAAGGTAGTATGTAACAAGAAGATATTTAGAGTTGTGAATACACACCTTACACTTTGGATACATAAATTTGAGGTAGTCCAGATTCTGAGTTGCACTGAAGTCCCTGTAAACCTGCAGCACAAATTTCATGTTGAGATCCTTCCAGTCATCTGTTGGGTGAATGTTGTAAGCATTCACTCGTTTCCAGGGCTCATCCTCTAAACACCAAGAATAAAAAAATAATTAAAAAGAAATTTATCATCTCTGATTTTAAAAAAAATAATGTATCCGCATTGTGTGGAAGGCATTTTGCACATATGATAAGGTCTTATATTTTAAGTCCAACAGCTCTGAATTGGTCATGTGGTCCATATCACCTTTACTTCCCAGGATATTTCCTAGGTTTGGAGGGCCAACTGCCACATCTAAAAACTTCTTCTCGTTGGAAGACGGCTGCAGAGATCCAACTGAGAAGGAATGGACTTTTTTTTAGTTCAAAAAGCTGAAACATTAAAAAGTCTTAACAGTCCTCTGCTGTATGAATAGAAACCTTCATTCACGTCATGGGCATAAACTTCTGCATTGGTCCGGGTTTCCCTGTATGGACGATATCATCCAAGGGTAGATGAAAGAATACATTTCTAAATGGATGACATTTTTCTGGCAATTATCTTCTCTAACAGCTCACCTTTAGTATTGTGCATGATGATTGTCTGATACCTCTGAATTTGTGTGTAGTCTTTGTCAGGCTCTGGCAGAGGTATCAGATGGCTGTGTAACCACTCCTCGTCGATACTAGCAACAGCGATACTGTTATTGTACAAATCTGCTCGTTCTTCCAGCTCTTCTTCAGTACACCTTTCAATGTCATCATACCTTATACCATCTGCACATTGTGCACTGTTTTTCGTTTTTCATCGTAGCACAGCCTTGATCTCATCAACTGTTACTATGTCTTCTTCAGCAATTTATACCTGAGGTAACCATCTTGGCAAAGCAACACCCTCTCATGTTTTCTGGGCCTGCTTTGCCCTGATTTTCATCAGTCCTCTTCCAGGTGAGGTCAGCACTCTGAAAGTCAGGAATACTGCTGTTTCTGACAGCACCGTTCATACTTTTATGTATTCCCGAGAACAATTTCAGTGACTCATCTTTGCTTATTTTGTGACACAGCTCTGCCCATTTTAACCATCATTTTAAAGCAAACAACTTTTATGTCCATGTCTATTTTTAGATGCAGGATAAAACTAGGCTTGGCATTTTGACATTTCTTTACAGCGCAAAGCTTATCCATCCATGTTTTTCCCACTCTATAATTCCACCAAGTAAGCTGCTCCCAGCTTTTCTTCTTACCGTGTTGATTCATGCGCTTGTCTTGCCTTAGTTTACACACCACATCCTATCTTTTAATGTCATAATTGAAAGTTCTGACCTTTGGCTTGTGCTTTCTACATCTGCTTTTCTCCACCAATATACTGCAGGGGTGATGGTCGCTGCCATGGTACCCTAGGACACCCCATCGACACACTGAAGTGAGTGAAGGAGAAACCAGAGCCAGGTCAATAACCCTGTCCTCACTACCTGGGCAACTTGCTGTCCTGGTGACACAGCCACTGTTAATACAAACCAGGTCAATGGTTTCAAGTGCAGCGTCAAGCTCCTTCATCAGTGTGTTGGAAGAACTGATACGACAACAATGACAGTGATGTTCTATAAGGACTTGGGTAATGATGATGATGAAAGAAATACAAAATTTAGCCTACCAGGATCTCCAATATCATGTGGTATACAGTTTGCCACTTTCCGGATCCCATTTTCTCCAGCCATAAGAAATGTTACCCTTTCTGTGTCTTCTACAGTAACAGTGTCACCTGAAATAGCGATAGACATCTGAGTATGACTTCACAATTAACAGACAATGACCAGTTAATGTTTTAGCATTATTAACTCTCTGAACATGATAAAGAGAAATGAATAATGTAATAATTCCCTGAACATGACAATGAGAAGGAATGTAACTAAAATATGCTAGGGTGATCAAAGATGCACCCTAAAAATATATAAGTTAGTAACATCAAAGAGGTATATTTGAAATTAAATGATTGAAAATGTTTGCTCTTATTGATCTAAAATACAAAATTAGAAATGAAGAATTGCTAAGTTTATATAACTGGCTTACGATGTGGATACTGATTTTACTATGCTTGGTTGGTGAGTCCTCTGGAAGATAAGCTGTAATTCTTATGCATTTTCATTCAGGCCATTTGAGATTTGAAAAGGGCTCACTTCTGTTATAGTGAGGTTGTACTGCCAACAGATCAATTCCAAAGGAAAAAATGCTATAAATACTCTGCTGTGAGCAGATTTCAGGATAGTTTGTATATCAGTCAACTGAATGGTTTGCCCCCTTAGAGAGAATACCTTATGATGCCATCCCGTACAAGGTACACACCAAAAGAGAAGGATGTAGAGCACAAGACAGACTAAGAACAAGATGGAAAGATAACATCAGAGAAACTCTACAACCAAAGAGCAAAAAGCAGTGCCTTATCTCTTCCTCAACACCTGAAGACGTGAAAGAAAAAGTGAAGAAAAAGAGGTGCATATTTTATCAATGTACTTACCATAATCGTACTGCAGAGACAGTTGAAGCTGTGGCCACAGCATGAGCAAAGCAAAGGAAGAATAATGATGTACGTCATAAGTGTTGAACATTCTGTACTCTTGACCTGTGTTTATAAATGTAATCAGCATTGATTTACCATAAGTAAAAAAAAACGATATATGTTTTGAGCGGGAAAACCTGACAGCGACAATTTTTCCTTACTCACAGAGGACCACATAGTAGGCAGCTTGTTGTAGCCTTTACATGGTGTCCTAATTATATCATGGTGGTGGACCTGGGATTTGCCATGTTGGCTTGCCGCCCAAGATATGATTCTTGAAGTTGCAGGGATGGTTAAATCATCTGGTGGTAGCCCAGAATAAGAAAATAAACAAAACCACTATTATAAATGATTCCAAATGAAATTATTTTAGTCTGAAGGTTAAATAAAACGTGATGTTAAAAATTATTTTTCTGTCGCTCTTGTACCGTCATCTGCCAACAGATTAATGAGCTTTGCAGAGACCAGGGGGATTAAAGCGGTCAACAAATCCTAGAAAGAAGCTAAACGTGTTGATCTTTTATTCTTTTTTCTTAGTGTTCATCACTGAAATTCAGGCAGAAAGTCCTGGTTTTTATCTACTTCTGGCTTCTGGTCTTTGTACCGGATTAGAGTGTAGTGTGCACATCCATTTACAGATTTGGCTTATTTGTGTGCATACTGTTAGTTTCTTGGCTCTTTGACAGATGAAGTGACTTAAAAGGAAAGCTCATCATATCTATGCTGGCCAGCCCTTAGTTGGGATACTAACTTAAGGTTTAGACAGATCTAGAGCGTTCGAAAATTGCACTAACCTCCCTCACCTGGATCTACACACCTGGTCATGTGGGCGTAAAGGGAAATGAGCGAGCGGACCAACTGGCAAGCATTGCACTAAGGCATGTGGGAAGAAGCATGGACAGAGCAGACATCGCCAACGCTGTACGGACTGGGCTAGTGGATAATGAGGAATCCTTGACACTAACACGATTGTGTGATATAGGAGTAAAGCGTGTTGAAGCACGTCTATGCCATCTTCGAGGCAGAGATAGGAGACAATATAACCAGCTTCTCATGGGAACAATTAGCAGAAGTACTTTGGAGTGGCTGCTGCAACGGAGGACTGAGCATGCATAGGAATGTCCAATGCCCAAAATCGATTGTGATAACATAACATAACATAACATAAGATAGATCTTGACCAGTAACAGCCCTGGTCCTGGTATACCATTATGCGTAGTTCAGCACCACTGCATCCTCAGGTGTCAACCAAAAGGGGTAAACATTATTACTCAGCTGTCAACAAACACAACACCAGTACAGTCCAACAATAACAAATGAAAAGGACGCTGGTTGCAGAATCAACCCCTGCTTCTTCTTCTTCTTCTTTCGTTCGCCTGAAATAAGTTGTCTATATCAGCAGTTTTGTCTCTTGTATAAATTTCACTGGACATTTGAGAAGGACCTCCAGTAATTTGGGTTGGGCCTCTTCGAGGCAGAGGGCCCGGCACTGCTCCTGCCTGAGAGTCCATCACAGGGCGAGCACTATAACGTTTTGCTGATATAGACATATTTCCATGGCGTGTATGCGTGGCATCCTGATTGCTGTGGTGCGCCTCTTGGCTGGTTGCCTCTGACTTCAGCACCTTGTTTTGCTAGGGTAGACTGTGATCATACTCGAGGAGAGTAGGCTCATCCATTCGTCTTTCGCCTTTACCTCGTTTGTTGTCCCATCCAGTTTCCCGCTGGGGGTTGAGACCCCAACCTTCAACTGGATTGCTGGGAAGAACAGGGTCCACCACGTGAACGTGAGGTAGGCTTGAGCAAGAGAGGCTAACAGACATTAAGAGTCTTGTATTGCGCATCATTGCTCCATTAGGACCCCATCAACCCCTGCATCTCTAGCTGTTTGTAGGTAATTTTAGTTCACTAGTTTGACAGTGCTTCCTGAATGGTCAGCACTCCATAATATTGTTGAAATTAACCCAAAGCGGTCTGCTGCCATGTAACCTGGCACTCAATCAAAGCAGAAATTTTGGAATAATAAAGTATGTTTGCAACAATTAAGTCACAGACACCGAGAAATACCAAAAATATTGGTTAAATGAAGAGAAAAAAATGCTTGGCACAAATGCAGTCACAAATGAGAGACTAAACATTGCAGCTAACAGAAAAGTGAATCAAATGAAATGATAAATAAGAAGAATTGCTATATAATGTAGAAAAGAAAGAAGAAAGTTAAAGACCCTTTTCCCACCAGTAGCACATCAAACATATGATGAATAATAATGATGCTCAACTCATTTGTGTATAGACAAATCAGCCCTCAGTGGATGAGGTGGTCAACATCGCATCAACCTTTTTTACTTCCCAGGACATTTTCTGTAATCCTTTTTTTTTTAGGAGGGCTGCGTGGTCTCGAGGTATGGTGTCCGCCTTGAGTGTTAGAGGTTCCAGGTTCAATCCCCGGTAAGGGCTGGGATTTTTTCCCGTGGACTTTTGACTTCTAGTAATTCCCCTGGTCTCAGGGTAGTGAGATAGGAAGCCCATGTGCATTGTTCTGCACGTAAAAAAATCCTTTGGCAGTGGGAAATCAAATAGAGTAGCCTGTTTGGGCAAAATTTGTAGAGAGAGAGAGAGAGAGAGAGAGAGAGAGAGAGTGTGTGTGTGTGTGTGTGTGTGTGTGTGTGTGTGTGTGTGTGTGTGTGTGTGTGTGTGTGTGTGTGTGTGTGTGTGTGTGTGTGTGTGTGTGTGTGTGTGTGTGTGTGTGTATGTGTGTGTGTGTGTGTGTGTGTGTGTGTGTGTGTGTGTGTGTGTGTGTGTGTGTGTGTGTGTGTGTGTGTGTGTGTGTGTGTGTGTGTGTGTGTGTGTGTGTGTGTGTGTGTGTGTGTGTGTGTGTGTGTGTGTGTGTGTGTGTGTGTGTGTGTGTGTGTGTGTGTGTGTGTGTGTGTGTGTGTGTGTGTGTGTGTGTGTGTGTGTGTGTGTGTGTGTGTGTGTGTGTGTGTGTGTGTGTGTGTGTGTGTGTGTGTGTGTGTGTGTGTGTGTGTGTGTGTGTGTGTGTGTGTGTGTGTGTGTGTGTGTGTGTGTGTGTGTGTGTGTGTGTGTGTGTGTGTGTGTGTGTGTGTGTGTGTGTGTGTGTGTGTGTGTGTGTGTGTGTGTGTGTGTGTGTGTGTGTGTGTGTGTGTGTGTGTGTGTGTGTGTGTGTGTGTGTGTGTGTGTGTGTGTGTGTGTGTGTGTGTGTGTGTGTGTGTGTGTGTGTGTGTGTGTGTGTGTGTGTGTGTGTGTGTGTGTGTGTGTGTGTGTGTGTGTGTGTGTGTGTGTGTGTGTGTGTGTGTGTGTGTGTGTATAATTTCATGGTGAACCTTTTCATTCGTAATGTGGTCTCGGTATGAAAAGCCAAGAACTTTTATGAAACAACGCATTTCTAAAAATGTCACTTAAAATGGATCCTAAATATCTTAAATGAGTCACTTGTTCAAATTTTTGACCTTTAATGTAGATTGGTGAAATTCTGCCAGCTGGATTATAAGTCATTACTTTTTTTTCTGCGTTTATTTCCATGCTATACTTGGCTGATGTTTCATCGAGCAGATTTATAAGCTCGACTAGTTCTTGTTCTTCTCCAGCCAACCCATCGATGTCATCTGCAAACCTTAAGTTTGTTATAGTTCGACCTCCGAAACTAACTCTTCCATGATGTTGTTCTAGGACATCAGTCATAGTTATTTCTAAAAAGATGTTAAAGAGTGTTGGAGAGGGGAGACAGCCCTGCCGGACTCTTACTGTTGTTCAGAACCAGCTTCCTATTTGTCCGTTAAGCCTGACAGCACTGCTGACCTTGGCATAGAAATGTTCTATAGTGCATGTCACGTAACAGACCAAGCCACCCCTTTTCAGATAAGACTCGGTTCAAAAACAGACCTGCCTCTGTAGGTATATAGTCCATTTTTTATATGTACGCTTCTTTTTGTCAAAGTAAGTGTTCATGGTTTTTTTTTTTTTTTTTTTTTTTTTTTTACTAGAATGTCTTTGCATTGGAACCCACAGGGGCATAGGAATAAAGGAAGGCCAAAAAACACATGGAGAAGAGAGCTGGAGAACGAGGTTAGAAAGATTGGGAGGACATGGGGAGAGCTCCATGCAATGGCGAAGGATAGAACGACTTGGCGTGAGTTGGTTGAGGGCCTATGCTCCATTGGGGGATAGAAAGGCAGAAGAAGAAGAAGAAGGGTTCCTGAATGCTCTAATTCTTTTGGAAGAGCTTCAATTTCAAACCTACAGTTGTAGGTGAGTGAGTCATTATGATATTGCTTACATTCCTATGGGCATATCACCGCCTAGGGCGCATTAATTTCTCCCCGCCTTCTTTGGAAGAGTCGCTTGTGTCAGAACTATTCTCGACCTAGCTTCCAGATAGATTGGACGTGTTTTGCCTCTGTGCTTAATTCTGTCAAAATCTAAGGAACAGTTATGTTTCCTGGAGGAATCCAAAGCTTGGAGTTAGACCAAGTTGCGCCTAGGAAAATTTTAAGTTCTGTAGTGCCATAATTTGAGTCTCCTCACCCCTGAAGTAGGTTGGATGTTCATTGGAGCTGTGCAGGATTCCGCCTAGACCATTGTGAGCCAACATCTCAACATTTTATAACTACTTCAGAGTGCTGATTGGTTTTATCAGGGGCAACCCTTACCAAGGCACGTGACATCAGCAGTATGTGACAGTGCGTATGAGGGTTTTACCCATATTGTACTTTTTCATGATAGATATCGTAAATCTGGGAGAAATGTGGCTTTTCTGCCTACCCCCAGGCATGAACCCGGATCACAAGGAGTTCATTACCCGGTCGCTGCGCAGTCAGGTTTAACCAAGTGAGCTAGCGAACCGAGCTACAAATATATTAAACAGTAATCAAAGGATTTTGTGATTAAAAATTCCCCCCCCCCCCATCCCCATACACACACGCAAATGACCCCCTTCTGCACAAAAAACACCACAGAGACACACACAAAACACTATAGAGATACAAATATTATAGTATATCATTACCTTCAAGGTAAGCAAATCTCCCATACTCCTGTACAGTAGGATGATGGGACTCTGTATTACTCCCCTTCTGGTTATCAATCCAAATGGTGCCACCATCACTGATGTAGTAGAGCTCATTGAAAACAGCAGATTTGTACCATGCTGGCAGAGAGCTTAAACATAAGATAACAAAAGTAAGACACATGGAGTCACGGTAGTGTAGCTCAGTAGGAAAGTGGCTAGACACTAGCCTGTCGATTTGAAGATCTTGGGCTCAAATCTGCATCAAGGTGGATATTGTACAATTTACTTTCTCTCACAGACCAACCCAGTGACACCATTAAATGTGGCTAGCATGATGCTGACTACATCACCCACTAAAAAACAGCTGATGTCTGTTATGGTACATAGGCGGGGCTACTGGTTTTAGTTGTGGCAAGTGTTTGCTTCCAACAGTAGTCAGCTTTTGCATTTTACTGCATACATCCTTTTGCCCACCATGGTAAACTGCAGCTTCGGAAAATGGTGAGTGGCCTGTTGCCAGAGAATTGGTGGTGCCTTACTGCATGTGGAACTATAATATAGATCAGTTGTAGCTGCTGCTTCCATCGATGAAGAACTGCATTTCTAGTGCCAGAATGTTTGTGCTTGCAGACTTCGTTTGGAATGCTTTTGACCAACATGGTGAACTCCAGCTTCGGAAAATGGTGAATGGCCTGTTGCCAGAGAATTTGTGGTGCCTTATGTGATCAAATGCATGTGTAACTATAGATCTGTTGTAACTGCTGCTTCCATCATTGAAGAACTGCATTTCTAGTGCCAGAATGTTTGTGTTGGCACTTCTGACAGTGGCCTTACATATTTTAATTAACACAGAGAATGCAGTCTGTGTCAATTTTCTCATGAGGCAGAGTGTGCAGCCTGTGTCAATTTTCTCATGAGGCAGAGTGATGGGAATTCTGTATGGTTTTCATTAGCACAGGAACTGAGCAACTATGAGTGAATTTGGAAATTGGATTACCTGCTCAAATCTTTAGCAAACTGATCTAGCACCACATACCATATGTGCCAACTGTATGAAAATGGTCCTTTACTTACTGTCCTGGTGGTCACAATTTCTTTTTCCCATCTAGGTTATTTTTTTAATGGTTGATCTCCCGGGCAGACCTTACTCTTCTTCTGTCTGCACATTTAAAAAATTTGGTAGTTAGCATGTTGTTTTATGGTTCACAGGTAGGATGTAATATCTGCAACCAATACATCTAATTTGAACTAATTCCTAATTAGTCACAATTTATGATAAAGTGCTTGTTTTTTCCACAAATGCAGTACTAGCTTATCAATTACTAAAGTACTGGCTTCCCTAACCCAACCTTAACGCACATTAAGCATATTTTTTCTATATAAGCGTCATATTTTCACTGAGAAATTGCATCATCGACAACTGGGTCACCCATTAGTTGCTAGTTGACAACTTCATCTTAAGCCAGGACAGTATTTGGGTCTGTCTCCTTTGATCACATCAACACTACAAGAGTTCTTTTCAGGGCTACTTGGTGGCGTGCAATACTAGGCCACTGTATATGGCACAAATAACCCAAGTTCCAATCAGAACAAAAAGCTCCCCCTTCAGGGATGCTGGTTGACCACAACAATTTTTTTCGCAAAACAAGGCAAGACTGAGAAATCTGCAGTCAACGGGCAATGTCCAGTAATATTGCGGTACTACATTTACTTCTCGTTACACTTCATGGCATGGAGTGGGAGTCAATTCAAAACATCAGCCCTGATTCTACATCCTGCAAATGGGTAAGAGGACATGTTCTCAAGAGTAAAGGTGACTTATATCATTTAATCCACTGAGATCAATTTGTCTACAAAAATACATTGGTCAATACCAATCTGCCCAGTAAATCACGTTGCATGAAATTAAGTCATGCTGCATGAAAATGAGTATTCAATCATTCATTCATTATTCTGTTGTGCCATTATATGTCACAGAGGGCTTGCAGTCTATTCCTCCATTCCATTCTTTCAATATCTTGCATGGAATTCAGTCCAGCAGCTTTGGCCTCTCTCAGCAACTTTTGTCAAAGGAAGCCCCCAATTAGTCGACATGCTTGTTGGGGAGACAGTGGGTCTACCTGTATTCTAGGTTTCCCCACAATGGGGTCCCTGAACCTACATGGTGAATTCTAAATTACCTACAAAGACAACAAATCAAATGGTTTGCCTACTTAGATTGCCTTCTGATGCCATACCATACAAGGCAGACACAATAAGTTGAGAAGGACGCAGAGCACGAGGTAGACCAAGAACAATATAGAAAAATAACAGCAGAGAAAATTTACAACAGCATGATATGTCTATGGTCGAGGTGGCCAGAAGAGCAAGAAGTAGAACCTTATTATATCTCTCTCAACAACTGAAAAGGTAAAAAAGTAACTAAAGAAGAAGATTATTATATATCAGCAAGAAATATTAAGTTAATCGCAGCCTTCATAAAGTACTGCTGTATTTGTACATTACTTGGTCCCAGGGACAGAAATAGATGTAGTAGAAACAATTAGTCACTCACTGGCTCTGTAAAACTGGATTCTGCCAGTTCTCAATCTTTGTTTCCCACAGAGGATAGTTTCTCAATGTATGACCACACAGCTTGGAGGCTGCAGCTCCACTAGTACCAAATAAACGGGCATAACGTCTGAAACATGAAAAAGAAAACAATGTAATATCATATATAAAACATTTAATTTCACTTTATACTGAAACTGCTAGCAAAGTAATAGTATCCATGGACATTTCTGTGATTAAAAAAGGTTTTAAAGTTGAGCGGATAACTTTCTCTGGATCCTGTTTCATGTCTGTCATTCTGTCAAGTGACTGGCCACCCATCAAAAGAGCCACACAAAGCTTGAATTTCCTAGTTTAAAAGACTAAATCTAGGAATCTAAACAAAGCTTGCATTTCCTAGCTCAAACAACTACAAAAATAATGTCTGGCAATCTAAACAAAGCTTGACTTTCCTAGCTCAAACAACAACAAAAACACTATTTCTGAAAATGTAAACAAAGCTTGAATTCCCTAGCTCAAACAACAAAAAAAATACTGTCTTTGATAATCTAAACAAGGGCTTGAATTTCCTAGCTCAAAAAACAGCAAAAATATTGTCTCTGACAATCCCTAACAAAGCTTGTATTTCCTAGCTCAAACAACAACAAAAATACTTTCTCTGACAATCTAAACAAAGCTCGCATTTCCTAGCTCAAACAACAACAAAAATACTTTCTCTGACAATCTAAACAAAGCTTGCATTTCCTAGCTCAAACAACAACAAAAATACTGTCTCTGACAATCTAAACAAAGTTTGCATTTCCTAGCTCAAACAACAACAAAAATACTTTCTCTGACAATCTAAACAAAGCTTGCATTTCCTAGCTCAAACAACAACAAAAATACTGTCTCTGACAATCTAAACAAAGCTTGCATTTCCTAGCTCAAACAACAACAAAAATACTGTCTCTGGCAGTCGAAACCAGGGCTTGAATTTCCTAGCTCAAACAACAACATAAATACTGTCTCTGGCAATCTAAATAAAGCTCCAATTCCTTAGCTTTGAATTTTAAAAAAAAATCTCCTGCCTTGAAAAAAATATGCTTTTGTGAACTGACTAATGCAGCAGAAAATGAGCCCTTCAAACTGCAATGTTGAAAAAAAAAAGACTGTAACATTGCTACAGTGTGGTGTACAGCTAGACTCTGATATCTGCACCTATCCAGAAATCCCTAATCCAGTGGTTCTCAACCTTCCTAATGCTGAAACCCTTTAATACAGTTCCTCGTGTTGCAGTGACTCCAAACCATAATTTTTTTGTTGTTGCTACGTCGCAGGTCGACCCAGCCTTAAATGGGTACCAGGATGGGCTGTCCTGGGAAAGTAAAGACGGCAGGCGTAATGCTGACCACATTACCCACAGAGTGCTGATGGTCTGTAAAAATATGGGACGCTCTGCCCATATGCCCGATGCGCCGAAAGGCGTGAAAAGGGAACTTTACTTACTTCATGACTTCAGTGAATATGTGTTTTCCGATGTTCTTAGGTGGCCCCTGTGAAATGGTCATTTAACTTCCAAAAGGATAACAACCCACAGGTTGAGAACCGCTAATCCCTAATTAGTCACCTTTTATAACATGCTTGTTTGGCTTTTCTAACATGCCTGTTTGGCTTTTTTAACATGCTTGTTTGGCTTTTCTAACATGCCTGTTTGGCTTTTTTAACATGCTTGTTTGGCTTTTCTAACATGCTTGTTTGGTTTTTCTAACATGCTTGTGTGGCTTTTCTAACATGCTTGTTTGGCTTTTCTAACATGCTTGTTTGGCTTTCCTAACATGCTTGTGTGGCTTTTCTAACACGTTTGTTTGGCTTTTCTAACATGCTTGTGTGGCTTTTCTAACATGCTTGTTTAGCTTTTCTAACATGCTTGTTTGGCTTTTCTAACATGCTTGTTTAACTTTTCTAACATGCTTGTGTGGCTTTTCGAACATGTTCGTTTGGCTTTTCTTACATGCTTGTGTGGCTTTTCTAACATGCTTGTGTGGCTTTTCTAACATGTTTGTTTGGTGGGCAGTGGGTCTATTCCTGTTTCCCCAGAATGTGTTCCTAGAATCCACGTGGGGATCTAATTTATTCAGAAACAAAATTTCCAATATGTACTATAAATTCCTGCCCCCTTTGTTATATTCAAGTTTTCTGTCTGTAAATGCTCACAAGAGAACCGTGAAATCGCAATAGTTTCACACTTGCCTGCCAGTCCAAAGATCTTAGGCTGAAACCTGCATAGAGATACATTTTCAGAATTTATTTAGGGCTCCCAGTTCAACCCAGCCTTAAATGTGTACCAGGAAAGATCCAAGGAAGTAGAGGCACCAAATGAATGCCGACTGGTCTATAAAAAAAAAGTGTCCATCATGATAAGCTTAATGCACCAATGACATAGAAAAGCTCTTTTATTTCCTCACATAAATGTTGATTTAACCTTCCTGTTGGGGGGTGGGGGGTGTGTTTGGACACAATCATCATCATCAAGTGTCTCACAGTCTTGTGTTGCCGGTCATGCCTCTCCACAAAATGCCATTTCCTGAATCAGTTTGTGTGCTGGCACCATTCCATGCCCTGACAAAAGACTGTCAAGAATCTTTTCATGTTGCTAACAATAATAGGCATTAAAAAAGTTCATGTGTTCACCTCGTATAGGTATTCTCCTTGGCAGCAAACTGAATATAAGGCATGTCCCAGCTCAGTGCAAACTCATAGACACGTGCTGAACCTGCTGGCACAGTCTGACTGGCACAGACAGCACTGGCTACTTCTTGGCCTTTGCTGGTAGGAGGTGATGGATCTGACATAACATAAAATTACATTATTATTAAACATCTTACAATCTGTGAATTTCTATCTTACACTCAGTATACCAGAACTATGTCCTGATAATCTTCTTCTTTTGACCTTTACCCCTGCCTCCTTTCTCAGTTGGTTGGGAGTCTGTTATGCTATACTGGAAAATAAAGGCAGAAGAAGATGAGGAGGTGGCAGAAGAAGATGAGGAGGTGGCAGCAGAGTAGGAGAATATGAAGCAGACAAGAAGAAGAACAGTAGGAAGAGGAAAAGAAAGAAAAGAAGAAAGGAGAGGAAGAGAAGGAGGCAGCAGAACAGGAAGAGAAAGATGCATAAGAAGAAGAGTCAGAGAAAGAGTGGAAGAAAAAAAAAGAAAGGGAACGAGGGAGGAGAAACAGAAAGAGAAGAATAACAGAAAGAGCAGGATAGAGAAAAAGTAAAAATGTGTCCAAATCGTTACTTATATTTTATAGAAATAACTGATATTATAAAAGTATTTTATTCATTTTATTTTATCCTACTGTTCATGCTGTAGAGTGTAGCAGCGAGAAGTTAGATGTAGTTTCCAGTCTTTTGCTAGCTGCATAACTTGTGTTAATGTAATATTGTGTTTCAGTAAGGTCTCTTCTACTCCCACCACCCACATTTTTCTTGGTCAGCCTCTAGTTTGTAGCCTGCTGTTATCATGAGTACACTTTAGCTGCTTTTGTTCCATTCTGACCAAATGACTAAACCATTATCTGATTCTCTGATGTTCTATGAAATTCATTACCAGTGCTGCTTTTGTTCTATTCTGACCAGAGGACCAAACCCTTTGATTCTTTAATGTTCTATGAAACCAATTAACAGTACTGTGCCTACTATTTGACTGTATCTCTGCTTGTTTTTCCCGCTACATTACTTATACATCTCATCTCACATGATGTAATTTTGCACTGACCTTCTTCTAGGACTGTCTATGTCTGGCTTCTTCTTCTTCTTCTGCCTTTCTATCCCCAAATGGATCATAGGCTCTCAACCAACTCACGCCAAGTCGTTCTATCCTTCGCTATTGCATGAAGCTCTCCCTATGTCCTCCCTATCTTATTAACTTCACTCTCAATGTGTTTTTTAGTCTTCCTTTATTCCTATGCGCCTGTGGGTTCCAGTGAAAAGACATTCTAGTTATTCTGTTCTCTGGTTTTCTCAATGTGTGTCCTATAATTGATCTTGCATCTCATTCCGTGAAGGGGACAGAAGAGAAATATCTTCAGCGAAGTCCAGATCATCAAGCTGTTCTGTAGAGGTCCACTGAGTTTCACATGATATCCTTCCCTCCAGTCTGTTGGTATTTCTTCAGTCTCCCAGACTACTAAATAATCTATGTAGCAATTCCATTGATGTGTTTATATTAGCCTTAATAGCTTCTGCTGGGATACCATCTGGACCTGCTTCCTTTCCTTCCTTCAGAAGATTGATAGCTTTTCTAATTTCCTCTTTAGATGGTATCTCACAGTTGATATCCAGTTCCATTTCTAGAGACTGGATATCTGTAGGGAACTCTGGGGCTGGTTATTTAGAAGTATTTTAAAACATTCAGCCCACCTGTCCATCTGATCTTTAGTATTGGTGAGTACCTCTCCTTGACTATTTTTTGATTGATCCAATTGGCTGACTATATTTATCTACTAATTTCCTTGTGTTACTGTAAAGGTCTCAGGTTTCCGTCTGCTGCTGCTGTCTCTGCTTCTTGTGTTAGGTCGTCTAAATATTTCCTTTTATCTGCCCTTATTCACCTCCTAACTTCCTTATTAGCTTCTGTCTATTTTTCCTGAGCTCTAGCTTTAACAGCTCTAGCTTTGCTATTGTTTTAATATGCCTTTTAGCTTTTCCTTCCTTCTATCATTTTGATTGTTTCTGGTGTTATCTACACTTTATTTTTTTTGTTCCTTCTTACCAAGGACTTCTACACAAGATACATTCCAGACTGTCTTGATCTGATCCTAGCAGGCTTCAGTGTTTACGTCTTCGGCTAAAAAATGATGGTACTTATTAGAGACTGAAACTGAAAACTGTTCCTTAACTGCTTTATTCCTGAGATAACCTACATTATACTGGTTTCTATCAGATGTTCTCCGTCTGGCAATGATAGCACAAAGTTGGTTTTAAAAGTATTTTATCAACTCAAGGTAGCACAATGGGTAGCACATGCTGGTCTGCAGGTCCAGTTGCCATGCGATCAAATCCTTTTCAAGACAGGAATTATTTTCAGTGTCCCTGGCTCTACAACAACAGAAAGCAGTACAGTAACAGAACAGAAGGTCCCTCTTCACATCTTCAGCGAATCAGGAACATGGTGCTAGACACACAGTTTTACAGATCAATTGTCACTCAATGAGTGATATGGTCAAGATCCCGCCAGCCCCTTTTACCTTCCAGGATACTCACTGTATCTCATTTTAGGCTTGGTCAACCTGGGAACCAAGGTCTATTTTGAATTTTTAAAAAATTGTGCCTTGGTGTCCTAAAATGGTTACCAGGAGACACAATGAGAGGTAAAAGAGGTAAAGGTAGCTGGAATAATAACCACTGCATCAACCCCTCAAATGCCAGTTCAGTCTAAAAATATGGGCCTACCACTGTAAACCCAGGGAACTGAAAGTAGCAGTGATAAGACACTTGCCTGCTGACTCAAGCATCCTGGGTTCAAGTCTGTAGCTACACAGATTTTTCATAAACGATACAGGGTTCCAGATCTAGCCAAAAATGTGTACCAGACAATGTCTTGAAAAGTAAAGGTGACGTTAACACTTGCCATCAAAAGCCAGCTGTTCTATAAAAATACAGGTTTAAAACCTGATGTGCCAATGTGCCTTTTTGACCATTTACCCAATATTCTTCACTACACTAAAAAGGGAACTTCCTAAATTCTTTTAGTCCCAAACAACTTATGATGCATGATTACATCTTCTATGAATTCCACCCAACACGTAATATGTTCTAATATTTATTTTTTCATTTGATCAGAGCATACTAAGAAAATCTGGCTTCCATAGTATATAGTTTCTTTGAAATTAATATTTCAATGGTTTGACCATAGACATTTTCTGCAAATCTGTTTGGTACTCAATGAGATATAATAACTTATTATTTCCTTCTTAGACAATTATAATTTAAATAACAAATTGGATTCTCTCATAGTTAATACAGAAAATGAGTACCAGTTTTTAATTCTGCATCTAAGTGTCCACTGCTGTATAAGCACTGCCAAAGTTCTGCACCGGTGCCTTTAGGATCAAACTGTGTCTTCACACTTACTGTAACAGATTCCTAAAAGATTCCATTCAAATCAATGGTCAATACATTGCTACCACAGTTTACAGCTTAAACAAATGCAGCAAAAAAACATAAAAATGGCAGAAGTTCAGAAAGTAATGCCCAAAATTTTATTTCTCACATCCTTATTAGGGAACTTGTGCCCTATTTTGGACGGAAAAAGAATAGATCCACCCCCCCCGCCCCTTCCCATCCAACAAGCATGTGTTAAAAGTGACTAATTAGGGGTGTTTCCTTTGAAGTTGGAGTGCATCAGCCTGATAGGCAAGGAAACAAAAAGTATGTATACAAATAAACCACATCTGTAAAAGGATGTGCATATACAACTCAAACTCGTGGAACAAGACTAAAGTCCAGAAACAGATGAAAGCCAGAATATTCCACTGGGGTTTACAACTGGTGACTGCTAAGGAAGGAAGGTTTCTCGCAAACTGTTTGTGTAAAATGTATTAAATTCACTTACAATGTAACTCACTATGTTTTTACACATCTTAATTTTGAGATATTCTGTGTCCACTGTTATAATCTTATGACAATGTGATCAAGGGCATGCAATCATGTCTTATCTGCTTTTTGTCCTGTTTACAGGCTGCTATCGATTGCACAACTTCTATACACAGCACAGAGGGAAGGGAACAAGGCAGAGCAAGAGAACAGGAGAAAGACAAGAGAGACAAAGAGAGAGGGTAAAGAGGGACAGACAGGTAGAGAGACAAAGAGATGAAAAGGGGGGAATGGGAAAGAGAGACAGAGAGAAGGAAGAAAAAGATGACAAAGAAAGAGATGGAAGAAGGAAGAAATAAGGGACAGAAAAGGAGGTGCAAGCAGAGAGGTGTAGGCAGAAAGGATGCTAAGACAGCGAGGGTAGAACAGAGGAACAATTAAATAGATAGAAAGACAGATAGTACAAGGATGAGAAATACAGAGAGAGAGAAAGAGAAAGGTAAAGCACAATAATGGGAGGGAGACAGAGATGAAGTGAGGTAGAAAAGCAGACACCTGCTAACTCCAAACCACCATAAACATTTAAAACTTCAATGTACAGAACATTTAAAATAAACAGCCTTTGCCATAAAAACAAGGAAAAACACTCGATAAAGACAGGCAGAGAAAGACAAATATGGAAAGTTTCAGCAGGCGGGCACAACCAACCTGATCAAATTAAGAGATCAGAGTCAGAATAGTGAAACATAAAAGTCTGTTACTGCAGACCAAACAGATGGGGGGGGGGGGGGGGAGGAGGTAAACAGAGTTAAGAAGTGGTAGTGAAGACAGATAAAAGGGAAGACAAAGAGCTGGGGACAGACAGAGACAGGGAGAGATGGACAGTGGCAGACAGTGATATTGAGGGAGGGAGAGAGAAAGAAAGATCTGAGGAGGAGAAGAAGGCGATGAAAACACAGAAAGGGTAGTACAAAGAGAGGCAAACATATAGTGGAAGAAAAACAAACAGAGAAAAAAGGCTAAGCAAAAGATTGGGAGAGAGGGATGAAGAGGAAGAGAAGCAAACAAAGATATAAACAACAGAAAGACAGCTAAAGAGACAAAGAGAGAGGAGAATAGGTAGGGAGATAGAACGAAATGCACTTAACAGTTCAAACATCCAAACACCAGGGGTGTGTCAAAGATAACAACTCATCAAAATAAAAATTAAAACTAATATCAAACAAAAATGTCCCAGAGAGCAACAACCACAGCCCCATGTTGAAACCACACTTGTTCCCTAACCATAACACAATTTCTTGTGTGCTGGTCACAACCACTAGGAAAAACATTTAGTACACAAGATAAAAAAAAAAGGGGATGGGGTGGGGGAGATAAAGAAAATGTGGCAAGAGGAAAGAAGAAAAAGGAGTGCAAAGATAGAGAGATGAAGACAGTAGATGAGATGGGGAGAGAGAGAGGGGACAGAGGTAGAAGAGTGAGAGAGGGAAGGTGGGAGAGGTGAGAAAAAAGAAAAGGGAAGCTATGGGGGATGTTTGAATGTTGATTGTGAAACCCACTGTAAAGATAAGCCGGGCTAAATATAGAACTGGGAAATCCAGCTCACATCACTCTGCTAGACCACCATCTCAGAATGTAATCCTGGTTTCAAGAAACAATCACATATATGGCGGCCACTTCCTCGCTCCCACCCCACATGCTGATGTCTGCGTGCATCCATGGGCTGCAACACAGCTCACCCTTCTTTCGCCCTTAACAACCCATTTTAGCTGAAAATGGTTGATAATTAATTGCCCGCTTGCCGCTTACCTGAAAAACAACCACAAACATTTAAACTGAATGATGCCAAAAATAGCCTAACTGCCAAAAGTCATAGGTCTTCCAAAGGTAGTTTGTTTTATTTCCGATTACCCTATCACGGCAGGCAAGCTTCAAGGGCCATCAGTCTTTGTCAAAGTCAACTAGTTGAACTCAAGGGACAGGCCATAATTCAAGGTCAAAATACGTTTCAAGGTCGGCTACGAAACCCTGATTATGACCATTATCAACTTGATACTGACTGTGCTGTAGAAATGAACTGCAATTCTTCTAATAACAACATGATGACCAACTTAGAGGGCTAACATATTCCATCGTAAAGCAATCAAACTTGGATTCATTCGTTGTAAAACTGGACAAGGATTGCTTACAGGGGATCTGGCCAACATAGACAGGATCATTATTTCCTCTGAAGTAGGAGTGAATCTGCCTGAGAGGCAAGAAATAACAGTCTGGACACAAATAAGCCAGATTTGTAAAAGGGATGTATACATAACACTCATGTCATATTCATTTTCCCCTTCCGCCGTCAAGCGTCGTGGGCAGGAACAGTCTGCGATCCACTGCTGATGGGCAGCAATGGCTATTGTCATTCTGTGTAAATGTAGAAGCTCTTTAATGTCACCAATCCATCTTCTCCTAGGGCGACCTCTTGCTTTCAGATCAGATCTTTTCATGTGAAGCGCTTGTGTTGATAACTTGTTCTGGCTGCATTCTTACTAGATGATCAAACCTTTTGATCTCCTGTTTCTCAAAGAATTTGCTGCACCGTGTTGTTCCCACAGTCTGCCTGATAATATAATTTCTAACTTTGTCTAGGATGACTAGGCTAGCAGCTTTTCTCTGGTATCTCATTTTACAGGTGTTAATTTTAAATAGGTTAGCCTTTGATAATGTCCAAGAATGACACTGGCAGCACAGTGTTAGTTTCTTGGCGCTTATATTAATGCTTGATGTCAAGAACTGGAACGTGTTGGTACCTATATCCACTTTCGTCCTTTTTAGGACGAAATTTTTTGTTATTTGAAGCCCCACCCTGGCTTTTGCCAGGGGCCGCAATATAGGCAGGCCATAAATATAGCCAATTGTCTGAACGCGGTTTCTGGGACCTCTCCACAGCGATCCTCATCTACATGGTTGCACTTTGTGTCATCAGGTGTTTGTCGCTTGTGTGATGTCCTAGTGGGGTAGAAAGTCAGTCAGAACTGGAACAAAACCAAATTCCAGAAATGAATAAAGAACCAGGACTTCTGCTGGAGTTTACAGTGGGTGAATGCAAAGGAGAAGAAGAATAAAGTACATCCCACAGAAACAAATCACATAAGATGAGTGGAAATTGTGACTTTACTTACTACCATGAAACAACAGGAGACAACAGAAATCGCAAAGGACATTTTTACCTGCTGCTGTGATCAGAATGGAGTTCTGCAAAGGACCTGCTACGTGATCATGACAAGAAGATAATGAATATTCTGCATATGTAATGATGTCAATACTCACAGTCTGCTTTGCTGCAATGCCATATGAGCATTTCATGCCCTTGAAATGCTGGTGGATAACTGCTCCTTTGGCTTCATCATCCCCGTCACAGTCTAATTTGAATCCCTGACACCAGACCCCACCGGCACTATCATCTTTTGTTCCTTGACCATTCTTAAATGTCAGGCAAATGCTGATCTGGAGCTCTTCACTACTTTCATTGATCACTTCCCATACAAACGCAGCAGCTGGTAAACTTGTTTCCTATTTAGTGTAAATGTAAAAAAGAAATAAAGATATCTGCCACGTTACCAACGATAAATATTTATTTAGACAAGCCTCTAACATGACAGCTTCTTTCAGTGAATAATGCTATGGGCTGATTTTATAATTCAAACTTTAGAGTCATTCTATAAATTATAAATGTCTCTTTTTTTCTGAATTGTAACCCCATTGCAGCACAGGCCATCAACCAACTTTTAATTGTTTGGCTTTTTTCCTTCACCTCTTGATAAGCAGAATTAGTTTAGCTCTCTTCTGCTAAGCCATCTTATTCCTTCTATTCTGCACATGTTGCAAAATATAATGGGATATTTGATAAAATGCTATATTCTTGTGATGGCAGTAATTTATTTATTTCAATAATGTTCTTTCTGTAAAAGTACAGGTAGTTTCATGATAGACTCAGTCAATAATTAAAGATAGTCGCTACTTTCAACAAAGAATACACAACAATAGATACAATTTACTGCCTGGCATATTTCGCTGTATCTCGTCAGGCGCATACTACAGTAACAATGATTTAAAAAAAGCAAATAAATTAATCCTTTAAACTTAAACATTAAATCCACTACATTCACAAGTAACTGCCTGTTTCAGCAGGAATGCAGGGTGACCATGTCCTTTTCTCTGCATAATTCTGGACTTAACCAGTTTATAGCCGTTGCCCCCATGAATCGCAACAGAAGTGGACGAACAACCAGAACTTTCAGCCAAAGCTGACAGCCAGTGAATGCAAAGAAGAAGAATGCCTTCAACAACAAAAACTCTATCCCCTACTTAGGATTGAATCATGCCTCCTGTATAAGCCCAGTGTGTTAACCACTAGCCAGCTGTTCTTCACCTTAAAGACATTGCTGCTAGAAAATCCATTGAGATCTAATTAAAACACAAATGAATATAAACCATGGCACTGAAATAAGTTAAGCAACAGGTGGAGTCACTATAATTTTTGCTTTTACCTATGATAACCTCACATCTCCTAGTGTTATGTTTTTGATGTCAAGTCTTAGTCAAATATGACTAAGCTACTGTACAAAAGTAGTTAGAACTACCTCTTCTCTCTTAAGGTCCAATGTTGGACTGAGACATTGGGAAAGATAACAAGTCTTATACTAGAAAGAGGAAATGCAACCTGAAAATTATATGTCATGGAATGGCAGACTAAGCTTTTAGCCCCTTGGTTGGCAGCTGGTCAAGGAGGAAATCCGATAGGCAGACAGACACAGCACTGCCCTTCTGATCAGCAGCTTTTGCAGTACGCTTCCTTCTAAACAAACTGGTGTTAACTTTTCTCTGGAGTAAACAAAGCATGCAGAAGGAGTGATCATGCTGTAAAGGCAACACATGGTCTCTACATTACTACCAAAACTTTGTTCTGTGGAGCGAAGGAACTTCATCCCCAGCCCTAATTGGTCTTACAGGCTGTGACCCCCTACTATAGCATAATATAACATTACCATCTGGAAAGACAATGCTTATAGCACCAAAATTCTGTTTTATGAGAGATGATAAACTGCTAACCGGCGTGATGTTAACCATGTCAATTGTCAAGTGCTGACTGGTCTATATAAATATGAGTCGAGCATCATATGCCCAATGTGCAAATGTCGAAAAATTCCATTACACTACTTTAGAAACTGCTACCTCCCGTATCATACAGCAAAACAGATGGACACAAAAGTCTGACATAAAAATATTCTTCACCCTGGCGTTCACATACTATGGCAGAAAGTTCTGGTTGTTCGTCCACTTCTGGACTTTTGTCAAGTTCCAGAACTTGAGTTTTGAATGCACATCAGTTTAACAGATCTGGCTTATCTGAATGCAAACTGTTGGTATCTTGCCTTTCAGGCAGATGTACTCTGTCTTTAAAGAAAACATCCCTAACTAGTCGCCATGTATTACATGCTTGTTAAAGGGCAGTGTCTCCAATCTTACTTTTCTCCTTCTTTAAATGGGGCTCCAGAACCCACAAAGGACAACACAAATATTCACATCTAAATGGTCTTGTTCTGTTACTTACCAAGTACTCATCAGGAAAGATTGGTGATATCTGCCTGCAAACGAGCGTGACATTCAATTCTGGGATTGTGAAAATGCTCCAAGCACGGGGGTAGAGGGCATGATAAAGACCATCTTCTGCAGGAAAGGTCCAGTCCCAAGCTTTTAGTGCTCTTCTTCTTTTCCTTGGCACACATGACAAAACCTTCTGATACACTGTTTCATTGCCTCTCCTGATGCAAACTATGAACTGAAAATGAAAATGATATATCTTTATGTTAGCCAAAATCCCTGTCCAAAGGATCTTTTCTCCAGGCAATGCCGGCCTAGTGGGTAATGAACAGGCAGACAGACTGGCTGGATCTGCACCACTGGGTGGTGAATTGATACATGACAAGGCAGATGTGGTCAAGGCTCTTTGGGAACAAGGAACGGAATCAGTAGAGAAACAAGATTATTATGGCCTGGAGAGAATGAGGCACCTGGGTGTAACCAGAGGGTCTGGCCGGCTTACTACACTAACAGGTAAGGCAAGATGGACATATAACCAGATTGTGACCGGTACCATCAGTATTGGAACTCTGTGCTGGCTGCTGAAGATGAGGACAGAGCAAGCATGGGAATGCCCCGAGTGCTGTGATGTCAATTCTTGACTCAACTCAACTTATGGTGTATGATAAAAACACAGGACCTTGCATGAGCTTCTGTAAAATCAGCAGAGTTAGCAGATGTCTAGTCAGGGTACAAAGTATCCTTTTAGACTTAACATGGTAATTTACAGCCCCAGAATAAGTGTATCTGTTCTACTACAATTTTGTTTAAAATATAAGCATTTTACATTATATTCACTTATGTATTGCAACTGTTGTAGTAATTTTGTGAGTACCTATTGTGATCTCCAAAATCTCAACTTTTGAAAGCAATTGATGATCTTTGCTGACAAAACTGATGAAGCACTAATGTTTTGCAAAAATGAAATACTTTGGCCAATTTAAATGTCAGTCATTTAGTGTCATTTTAGTTAAAATACTATGGCCATTAACGTGACTCCATATACAGACAGGGTATGAATATCTTTTATTTGTGCAGCGGTTCAATATGGCCGCTAGCCAGTTTATATGTGAGCTGGTGAAAACCTTATGCAATAATTCTATGTATGTATAGCCTTACTGTGTGCGACTACTTCCATCAACAACAAACTGCATTTCTAGTGGCGACTGTTGACTCTGACGCCTCTAGCAACTGCCATATGCATTTCTAAATTGTTCCTGGACCAACTGTTTGTTCACCAGTTTTTCAAATGGGACAGTGAGGGACATTTGATTTTCACTGGCACAGGAATTGAGCAAGTATGGGATGACCCGACTGCAGTGAAGTTGAAACTCTAAGACTAAGACAGGTAACTGATTAACTAGGTTAGTTAGGGAAACCATGACGGAACCAAATCATGGAAACCTGAAAAGAGTAGTGGTTGACGAAGCCAATTTTTTTTTTTTTTAATATATATATACATGCAGAAAAACGTAAATCTTCACAACTCTCTTTTGACAGAAAGAATTAACTACTATAAAGCTTCAGCACTATTTGGAGAAAGTCATTTGCATATATAAGTTCTGGAATTAGAATACTGCCAATTATGAATGGATTAAAACTGTCACTGGTTTCATTAAAGTAATTTGTCATTACATTTTTTGACTTAAAAAAAATGTTGAACAAGTTAGGGAGAGAATGTTAACTACGTCAATTATCTTCATCTGCATCTCAAACCAGTTTATGTTTCACTGGTTACTCCGACACCTGCTTGTTGTTCATAACACAATGTTGCTTCTTCTTTAAAAGGGTGGTTAGTGTGTTGTGCTGCAGCTGACAGCTAGGCTGTGATGCCTGCACCTTTTGGTCCAGCATATCTGATTTCAGCATACTCTTAATTAGTTGCTTTTTATGTTAGAGGGCAGAGAGTATTTTCTTTTTCCACCAGCTGGGCCTTGGAACCCAAACAGAGTGCACAATGTGCTGAAAATTCCATCTATCATAAAAATGCTGATGGCGAACCTTACTGTAGTCTTATGAAACAAATATGAAGATCTATACTGCATTCTTTTTAAAAAATGTCAACCAAAATTCTCATACTGGAAGAATGATAAATGGTGCCTATATCCTGAGTAAATCCTTAAATTCATCCAATTCTTGTCTGGAAACGTTCCTGAACTTTTCATCAAGTGGAACGTAAATAATTAATATTGGTTATTTGCTCTTTGTTGTTTTTACCTGATCAGCATCCACTACATGATAGTGATAAATGCCTGGAACCATCTGGAATCTGCAAAATTCACCTCTGTAGCCTCTACCAATTGTCCCACTGCCAATACCACCTAATGGACATCCTAAAATGCAATGAAAAGAAAGTAGAGGCAAAGTTAATGTTCATTTACAATATTTTAATAAATGAAGATTATTATACATAAGCACACACACACATACACATCATACATACATACACACACACAGGGTACTTCAAATGAAAACTTTAACAATGTGATAGCAGTTGCAATAACCGTGCTACTGTCTTGTAACTGTCAATAATGTTGTTAAGGATATCAAGAGTGTTAAGCTTGTGAAATCACAGTGCAGATGAACATGTTGTTATTATGACAGTTTTTAAAGGTGGCTGCCCCACTTTCGACATACATCAAAGAGCAGCAGTGTTCTGTTATTCAATTTTTGTATCAGTTAAGGGATGAAATCCATAGAAACCTATCAGCGAATGAAGGTCCATTGCAGTGATGTATGCCTGTCAGTCCAGCCTGTCAGTATGAGTGGAGCAGGAAGTTTCAAAATGATACGACTTCTGTGATGGACTGTTTATGATGAGGTTGGGCCTCAACAGTAGTGACGTGAGAGTCGACTGTAGCCACAGAAGGCCTCGTACAGGAAAACTACTGATTGACTGTGAGTGACACTGCCACACATCTTGACATAAGTCAAGGTTCAGCACAGTACATCCTCCACGATGTGCTGTGGCAGCGCAAGGCGTTGGCAATGTAGGTGTCACACCAGGTTATTCCAGAACTGAAACAACAACTGAGTGTAGCTTGTCAAGACCTTATGTAGTGCTTTGAAGCAGAAGATGATGGTTTCTAATCAAGAATTGTTACTGGAGATAAAACCTGGCTTCACTACCATGAGCTGGAAATGAAGAACGTGAAAAAGGAATGGTGCCATTCTTCTGAACAGACATCATGAATGCAGCCATCTGCAGGGAAGGTTATGACATCTCTTTTGGGATGAACAAGGCATTATGTTATAGCATTACATTCTAAGAGGGAAAACTTTCACCAGTGAATCATCTTTCCATGTGACTACAACTAAAAATAATTAATATTCACCACATGCACACACAAAAAACATTCAAAGTTTTCATTTCAAGCAGTCTTGTATTTATACAGACAGACATGTCTTCTCAGGTGACTACAACCAAAAATAATACATTTGTTCTTTACTGCTTCAGTTGAATATATTTACCAAAAAAAAGAAACATTCAAAGTTTCCATTTGAAGCAGCCTCGTATGTGATCAGACAGACAGACAGACAGACAGACAGACAGACAGACAGACAAACTACCACAGATAGACCAATGTGGCAATATAGAAAATTGGCTGCTCAGGGATTTGCAACTGGAAGTGAAGCCAAAACATTAGCTTCCTAGCATGAGCTGGCTGAGGATCTATGTTCTGATTGAGGACAGAGGGTAGCAGCAGCAGAAGATACGCAACAGAAAATTCAACACTTACCATAAATTGGTTTGTGTTTCATTTGATTAAGGTGATCAATAAAAGGACGTCTTCCTTGCCTTTTCTTTCCAACCCAGAATTTAGCATATCTGAATGAATGAAATAAAATGCAAAACTTCTTAAGATATAGAAAAAAGTGGCAAAGTAATAAGTAAGTGCTCCCTGCCTGACCGATCTTGTGCTCAAATCTGCATTTTGGTGGATATGTTTTAAAACTGACCCTGTCTTCTAGGATGATCCCATTTAAAATGGGTACAAGGTAATGTCCTGGGCAGTAAAGTTGACAGTCGACCACTAGGTGCTAACTGGTCAATAAAAATATGAGTCTAGCAACATATGCCTGATGCCCCCTGGATTCACATTACTTCACTTCTGTCCTTCTTCGTCTACCTCAAGATGTTGGTATCAGTATGCTTAAAGAAAGCAGCAGTAACCTTGAGGCTGTTAGTATCTCCCCTTACTTTTTCCTCATCTGAAACAGATGCAGGGAATGTATTTTATTGTGTACTGAGTGGTATAGTGGTTAGTATACCTGCTTTAAAACACAAAGAACCCGATTTAATTATGCATAACAGGGTTGCAAATTTTAATTACAAACCCTCTCTAATTCAAAACCCTGTCTAGTATCATATTCACATCTCAAGCAGAGCCTTTACTGTTAAACAGTGATGAATATTTTGTGACATCACCATGCAGCTAAACAATTTTATGTACTCTTGTTTGTAACTGCATCACTGTCCATGTGTGTTATTTGCCGATGACAGTTTTCTAGCCGCAATATTCATTTTATCATTTGTGATTGTGATATTGTTAAACTAATTAGTTCTACTTTTCATTTAGATTTTTTTCATGTTTTTTAAAATTACAAATATGACACTGTAATCAACCAGATCTTACAAAATGGGTACCAGTAATTCATCTGGGAGAGTTTAGGCAGCCAGCCTAAAACTGACCATAGTAACGCTTTGCAAATTAATTATAAAAAATGTAGCAGGTGTTTAGCAGAATGCTGTTCTCACTGGGAAAACTGGGCTTAAAATTCAAATATTTAAGTCCTTGCTTACTGTCCAGTTATACATATCATACAGAAAGTGAAAATGCATACGACACATAACATTTCACTCATTATAACATTTCATTCACTGTTCTACTGTGCCACTATGTCACGCAGGGCTCGAGGCTATTTCTCTATTCCGTTCTATCCTTCAATTTTCCATTTCAATGCCTGTCTGGTGATTCTATGTTCACCTCTTCTCAGAATATGTCTAATATGGCACCATCTTCTCTGTCTTATATCTATACTAATTGTTGCCCATACATTTCATATAACATTTGGTAAATCTTATTTTTTTTTAAATGTATTTCTTATGATTCTTGATGTTACTATTCGTTTATAATCTTGGATATCCATTCTATTCCTCGCCTTTGCTATTCTCTTATTCCTGTTTCACTTCTGCCATCATATATGTTATTACACGACCAAGATAAGAGAAGCTTAATTATTCTTGGATATCTTCATTCACTGTAGTGTTCACTGTTGGCCTCATCTTCCCATTATAAATATAATTTTAGTGGGGTTTTTAAAATATCTAATCCTCATTCTGCACAAATTCTTGTTATTTGCTTCATAAGATCTTGTAACTTGTGCTGATTTTCGCTAGAATAATCTTTCCATCCACTTTATACGGCTAGAATATAATATTCATTGATAAATCACTGCTGGCATCCCTTAGCTGACAAAAGATATAGTCAGGTTTTTTGTTCTAGACAAAAAGGTGCCGGCACTCACCACAAAGTGTCTAAAAAATGTATGAATAATCACCACAAAGTGTCTATTACAAGGTGCCAGTACTGCATACCACTGCGTACCACCAGAAAAAAGAAAAGCCCTGGGTACATTCATATGGCATAACCGGAATACACTAGGTAAAACTACTCGCACCCATTAAAGGAACATACTAGGAATGAACACAGGGGCATCTGGTCAATATGTGGGTAGTCTGTGGATTAGGCGCTGCAAATGCATCTCTTAATGCCGGGGTATCAGGTTCGATCCCAGCTGCGGACGGTTTGTCCTGCACTGGTTTCGACAGTGGTACCGAGAGCTGACCATTCAGTAAGCAATGGGAAAACTACTGAATGCAAATTTTGCCTAGAAAAACAGCAACAGCCAAAAAATGCTGGGGCTAGTTCTGCAACTTTCTGTAAAGGATACGCAACTAACTTAATTTCTGGCCACGGGTGGATGTCACATTTTCCCTTTTTCTGCACTGGTAGACCAAAAGTTTCATATCCCAGTTACTGAGCTGAGTGCTAGGTGCAACACTGTGCATCACTAATTTAATGTGGAATGTATTTTTCTCAGTGTTCCCTGTGGTTCTGTGATGTGAACTCTACTGAAAATAGCTGGTGGCCACTAAATCCTGACTTGCGTGTACTCCATGCCGTAACAAAAATTACGTGCTGTCTCTACAATGAAAGTTTACTACAGAGTACCATATCTGTCTTTGGGAATATTACATGGTGAGGTCCCAGTCTCTTCCAAAGTGCGACTCTTGTAATACTGTCCAAAAAACCATGAGAACAGGTCTTTTTGTTTAAACCATAAGCCATGGGAATCAAACTTTAGTACTTAATTCTAGTGGCAAACTGTTAGTGCTGACACATATGGGTGCTGCCATGTGCATTTACTTTGTGAGCGCAAGCTTCAGGATTTTGTTGGGACTGATCTTCTTTTTCTTCTTCATGTTCACTGGCTGTAAACTCCAGCAGAAAATTCTGGGTGTTCACCCACCTCAAGACCTTAGAATTGTTGCAGAATCTAAGTGCTGACTGATTGACTGACTTTCTACCCTACCAGGACATCACACAAGCAATAAACACCCGATGACACAAAGTGCCACCATGTGGATGAGGATCGCCGTGGAGAGGTCCCAGAAACCGCGTTCAATTGGCCATATTTATGGCCTGCCTATATTGCGGCCCCTGGCAGGGTGGAGCTTCAAATAACAAAAAATTTCGTCCTAAAAAAGACGTAAGGATTAATAATGTAACAGTAACTGTGAAACCTAAGTGCTGACTGACTTTCTACCCCACCAGCACATCACACAAGCGACAAACATCCGATGACACAAAGTGCCACCATGCGGATGAGGATCACCGTGGAGAGGTCCCAGAAACCGCGTTCAAACAATTGGCCATATTTATGGCCTGCCAATATTGCGGCCCCTGGCTAAAGCCAGGGTGGGGCTTCAAATAACAAACAATTTCGTCCTAAAAAGGACGAAACATCTTTTGCCATAAGCTGGCTACTGTTTTTATGAAAAAAACCTAAGTGCTGCATATACATCCATCTCAGGCAGATGCATTCTGACTTCAAAGGATGCCCCCAATTAGTCAACTCTTATAAGATCTGACAATTAAGTAATGAGACTAATTCCATAAAAATTAAAATCATCAACAGTTGAAGATATAACATGTATTTTATTCAAAGTAAGTCCTTTGTGCACTGATACAGCGAGTGGCACGATCTAATAAACACTGGAACTACCCCTGTAGTTCGTTTGTTGTTATGGCCCTTGAAGTCGATGTTACGGCCCTTTGGATGTCATCAATATCTTTAAAGAAGAGTCCTTTCAATGAAACTTTAATTTTAAAATTTCAAAATAATCACAGGGGACAAATCTGGGAAACAGTCTGCATGGTTAAGAACACACATTTATTTTAGGACCAAAAATGCTTGTACAACTACGGCCCAGTAAGACGGTGCATTGTCATAAAGAAGGTACAAATCAGCAAGCAACTTTTTTCTTTCACAAATTTGGCACTAAAATTTTACGAATGGTCTCTCTATTAACACCAAATTCATCTACTATCATCCTCGCAGTCAAAAAATGATCTTCTTATATCCGTTCTTTGTCTTTTGCAATGAGATCCTCATTATGAACAGAAATTTGGCGTCTAGGTCTGGTTGTATTAGTAATCACTTCCACACCACTTTTGAATTGTGAATACCACCTGAAAATCTATGCACAAGATGAACAATTATCCCCATAAAATTGCTGCATCAGTTCAGCTGTCTAAATGGTGCTTTTACTGAGTTTTAAACATTATTAAATGTTGGCATTTTGCTCCATGCTGATTTTGTAACAATGCACCTCTGACTACAACACAATGGCGGCCTGTTTGCTGTCTGCTTATCAGGCGGCGATGAAAAGTTGCCAGATCATGAAGGTTGCCTCTTTAGATTCCATGCTTTGCTTCAAAGATGGCCTTTTTGTCTTGGCCATAATCAAATCAGTCTCATTACTTAATTGTCAGACCTTGTATGACATGCTTGTTGGGGAGGCAGTGGGTCTATTCTTGTTTTCCCCACAATAGGGCACCGGAACCCACAACAGTAGGAATTTGTTGGGACTTATCTGTTTTCACTGATTTTCAAATGGGACAGTGAAGAAAATTGTCTGTGATATTCACTGACTTCAGACTGGATAAATTATGGGGAAACCTATTGGCCATGAAAGGTCAAGTGACTACTGACAGGAATACACTATCTTCTTCTTTTCTCCACTCTTGAAATGCCTCATGGTGTCAAGATGGAAAGAGATGTTTTCTTCGAATACGGTACTTTTTAGTGTCTCCTATATTTCGGTGGTTCATCTTCAGTATGGCTGACCTCTGATAGCACACTAGCTCATAATACATTGATGATAAACTAGTCAAACATGGACACTATCTAAAGCCCATGTAGGCAAAATCACCACCTACGAGATGAGATGGCTGAGAAAAGCCACCAGTCTTACCGAGATGGAGTGATTAATTAACATATTGTGGGAACGACACCATGTACTAGATTCATCGAGAAATAGCAGATCAAGTGGTTTGGCTATCTCAGTAGAATGCAGCAAGATCAAATACCATCACAATCACTACATCTTAGAAGATCAGCTACAAAATCAAGAGGACAAAAATATGGATCAACAACATTAAAGACACTCTACGTGTTCAAGGCATGATAATACCAGAGGAAGCCAGAGTGGACTGGATCGCAAATTATTCCTCCCCATAGTGCTAAATGGCAGAAGTGGTTTATGATGATGATGATGAATAAACCAGCTAAACACACCATCCATAACTAGACACAATACCTTAAACCAAGTCCAATATACTGAGGAATCTGGTTAATCCTAGGTTTGGAGAATGGAGTGCACTTAACATTGCAGTTGTAGGTCAGAGGTACACGCCATCCATAGTCTGGTAAACCTGCAACATGTTTTCTAGGAGTTGTCGGACTGTGCTCGGGCCCAACACACTGCATTATGCCTGGTAGTAAACAGAGAATGGAAATATGTAGTAGACAGATTAGGTGACAGATATTTTGCAGATCTGATTTTATCCTTATTCTTCAAACTCTCAAGCCCTTATAGCTCATTGCTGCAGACATCACCTGCATCCATTCGTCTCTGTGACTGGCAATCTCTTTCTTCAAGTGTTTGTAAGTTAGCCTGAATATTCTGTCACTGTCTTGATGGCCTGCCTTGTGGTCTAATCCCAGTTAGCAATTTTGTGTACAGTTTTTGTCTTTCTGTTATTTTCTCTGTATACCCCAACCACTGCGGTCTATTAGTCAGTAATAAAAGAGTATTTAAACTGATTATGAATGACACTAATTCTTCTCATTCTTCTATTTTTTCATATTCAATGATCTGATATTTTCCATATTATGTTAACTCTTTCAGTCTGATTAGTGATTACTGAACTCCTATCCCAAATAGCTCCTCTTTGTAGTAAACAGTGTTTAGAGCTGAAGGACTTGGAATAACATCACTAAAGGAGAGAATTTTTAAAAGTCTGTGCCATCTCTATAATGAAGGCTGGTTAATTTGTACCCACTGCTATCTCATTTATTAATTTTTTTTAATTTTTTATTTAAATAAATCGCTCCAGCAAAAATCGAAACATATTATTTAAGGATCATGAAACTTGAGCCTATTCATTAACCAATGAATAATTCACACCAGCCAGGTATTAAAATCGATAACGAAAAAATACAAAATGTCAGCCAAAAGCATGTCATAAGAGTCGACTAACTGGGAGCTCCCTTCATAGTCAGAGTGCATCTGCCTGAGAGGCAAGGAACCAACAGTCTGCATAAAAATTAGATAGATCTGTCAAATGGATGCACATGCAACACTCAAGATCTGGAACAGGATTGCAGTCTAGAAGTGGACGAACAACCAGAACTTTCCGCCAGAGTGTACAGCTGGTGAACACGAAGAAGAAGAATATTTAGGCTTAAGAGTTAACAATAATGGCGACTGCACAAATTAAATGAGAAAAGACTTGCTTTAGCAATTCAGAGACTAAACAAAATGAAGAACCTATGCACATGCAAGCAAGTTAAAGTAACAATTTTGATACTGTATCTTTCCCGTGGCAACTTGTGGATGTGAGTCATCGACTCTTATTCAATAACTTAAGTCAAAAATTTGAGCTTTTAAAATGAAATGATACAGAAAAATTCTTCAGAATACAATGGACCAAGAATGTTGATTTAAGAATTGACATCACAGCACTCGGGTCACCCCCATAAGCGCTCCGTCCCCATCTTCAGCAGCAAGCGAAGAGTTAATATTTCGATGGTACCAGTAAATGTCTGACTGTATATCCATCTTGCCTTTCCCCTGACTGTCGAGCGTCAGGCAGATTCCATAGTAACTCCTCGAAGTGACATTCTCCTCAGACCGTGTTACAGCCAGTCTGTCAATGTTTTTGGAGTGTTAAAAGCACTGGCGTGCTGAAAAATACAAGACGTGATATGAATGGCATTGCGAGAAACCCCTATGTAACCTTCTGGCCACATAGCGTGGCTCAAGGTCGACGAATCAGAAGTGAGCTAGGCTGAACGGACAATTCGCCACCGATGGGGCACTAGCCGCGCGCTATTGCCGTCATATTTGGGAGAATTCCCGTGGCGCCACTCCCACAAGCATCAGATTTTCGGCCAGTATTTGGAACTCCTACGTCAAAATTGTCACATTTAACCCTACCCCTAACCCTACCCTAATCCTAACACAAACCCAACCCCTAACGCCGCTAACCCTATCCCTAACCAAAACCCTATGATGACTACGCAACCGCATACGCAACCGTATGATGATAGGTAACCGTAACCGTATGATGACTACGCAACCGTACACGCAACCGTATGATGATAGGTAAGTATGTCATTTGATTCGTGACTTTTCCGCTCCGTGTTCTCAATGCAGCCAAGGGAGAGAACTCCCACTAAGCGATCGGCGGCTTTCCAGCTAACGGCCTAAGTTGACAGGAGAGCCCAATATTGACCATAACACAACAGTAATATATTTGTTCATCATCATCATTAATCATTATTCATATTTGCTATATTGGCATTATTGGTAATCATGCTTATTTCATATTACTGTTATTAAGTTTAATAACATAGAAAGTTAAACTATAGCACACTAGCAAAGGTAAACCGTGTAAGACGATAAGGAAGGAAGTGTGTCCGTATGCTTGCGGTAAATGACTAAACTCACTAAACGTAGTCTGCTGAAATTGATATATTTTATTTATTATAAACTATACTCACACTGAGCGTCAATTAATTTGAATGTCGTTACCTTAAACTTTTATTGCATTACTTACACGGTAATCTCATTAAATCACAATTTAAATCAGACTATTATGTAAACGCGGCAGTGCAAAGTTTTACATGGTAACGTAACTTTTTTTTTAAGCGAAAGAAACTGAACTGAAACCTCGACTTTTAGTCCTGGTGTTGGATTATTTCATTCCTTCAATTATGTTCAATTGTCATTGCAAACAGAAAAAAAGAAATGCTTTGCCTGATGCAAAATATGCCCAACTTTAGGTGTGGGAAATTTACAAGTGACTTTTTAAACGGAAATTAAACAATCTACCGTTTTTACCTAACTGTTGATCATGTAGGACTGGAGGGTGGAAGATTGCACCTGCTCTCACATGTCGAGAGTTACGAAGAGTGCCTGCCGCCAGCAGAGTTGCCACTTTTCTTTGACAAAAAATATCCAAAACTGTGTCAAAAAATATCTTTAAAAAAAAGATTTAAATCTGCGTGAAAAAGATCTGGAAAAAAATTCCAAATTGAAAAAGTCAAAAATTACATAGCTTTTGTTATGACTTACCCTAAATAATCATGTCCTCACCTTCACTGATGTCTGCCTCACAAGATCCACAGGATAAACTTAGCTTGGATAATGAAGTTGAAGCTTCAGATCCAAAATGACTCTGGTATGCTTTAAGGACATTGTCAGAAAGAGCTATAGAAGTAAAGACTGATTTGTACTTATGCTTCATAGACTATACAAAAGCATTTGACTGTGTGAAGCATGAAGAAGTAATCAAACTGTTAGAAAAATTAAACATTGATGGGAAAGATCTAAGAATAATAAAGAATATGTATTGGCAGCAAACAGCAGCTATAAGAATTAACAACTGTTTAGGTACATTTCAAAGCATAAAGAGGGGCGTACGACAAGGATGTGTACTTTCACCTGATTTGTTTTCAATATACAGTGAATATATTATGAGATCTTTAATTGATATGCCCGGAATCGTGGTTGGTGGGCACAATATAAACAATTTACGTTATGCTGATGACACAGTCTTGATAGCAACAAGTCAGAAAGAATTACAGGAAATGATGTATATTGTGGTGTTAGAAAGTGGAAGAATGGGCCTCAGTTTGAATAATGGGAAGACAGAAGTAATGGTGGTATCAAAGAAACAAATTATTCCTAAATGTGTAATAAAAGTCAATGGTGTTATTTTAAGACAAGTACAGAAATTTAAGTATCTGGGCACATGGATAACATCAGATGGAAGATGCATAACTGAAATAAGAAACAGAATTGGACAGGCAAAAACTGCATTTTATAAAATGAAAAACATCTTGTGCAATATATCCTTGTCATTGAGAGTTAGAAAAAGAATTCTTGCTTGCTACATACATCCAGTTTTAACATATGGATGTGAATCCTGGACAATCGGTAGGCAGGCCAAACAATTTTTAGAGGCCTCAGAGATGTGGTTTTACAGAAGAATGCTTAGAATACCTTGGACAGCCAAAAAGAGCAACCAAGAGGTTTTAAAAGAGGTGGGAGACCGAAGACAACTTATCACTGACATCAGAAGGAGACAGTCATCATTTTTCGGCCATGTTATGAGAAGAGGGAAAATAGAACATGTTGTGACCACTGGAAAGATCTGTGGAAGGAGGGATAGAGGAAGACAACGAGAGAAGATGCTTGACAGTCTTGTTGCATGGCATGGAGGTGTGTCGGCACACGAACTGATACATGCTGCAGGAGATCGCGGATTATGGAGAGGCATAATCGCCCACGCCAGTCGGCAAGGCACCTGATGATGATGATGATGATGCTTTAGCTGTTCAAATTTCTTTATAAGTGGAACAGTAGGCTTATTTCTCTAGTCTCATCAGGTCGAATTTCAATGGCACGATAGCATTTATGAGGTCAAATTTCATCCTGTTTTTTAGGTTAGATTTGATATAATTCCTAGCACTGAAAACTCTTTCTACGTCAGCATTAGAGTGGGGTAGTATCATGGCAGACATGGCACTTTAAAGAGCTTACAGAATGGACTGTTTGATAGGGTATCATTAAATTGTCTCACTTCACTCCAAAACGCTTTAGTTTCTGTTTTGTTTGTCCATTCAGCTAACTTTATTTTGGTTAACTGATATTCTGCTTCCCTGACACTATTATCAGTAGCCCCTAAAAATGTCATAACTTCACAATATTTAGGTATGTCCTTTATTGGCTGAAGTATGTTGCTCACAGAAAAAAGTGAAATATATTTCAAAACATCTAGATTTTCAGGAAGTCTCTGCTTCAATAATGAGATAAGGAAATCTTGACAGTGTTTTCTTAAGTTGTTCTCTTCCTTCTCTGTTAACAGTCCTCTTTGTTTTTAAATCATCAATTTTTGATTCGATTTAATATCCAAGGTGTGGCTTAGGAGCCAAATAGCTCTCTATAGTACAATTGAGCAAAACAGCTTTAGAAGTTGGCAACACCAGTCTTTTACCAAGTGAAATAGCAAGGTGAGATCATCAAGTAATTTAACTTTATCAACAAGTTTAGATTCGAATAGTTTATTAACTTTTTGCACTTCCATTATAATAGGTTATAAAAAGAGAATGAATGACAAATATTTTTTCATCACTGTACATTCCATATAGTATTTCAGCTGTGTAGCACTTTTCACTGTGTCTTGTTATTTCAAAGTGTG